TGTTGAGCTGATACAGGAGTGTATGAGTCGGATGATGCTGTCAGTTGTAAGGTGGGTGTCTAGATATTTATGACCCACCTTGACGAAGGCGGCCATAAACTGTATACTGTTGCCATACCACACGATGGGTACTCATAACGTATACAAAGTGAATACTCGTATCATCGTGCAACAGCTTAACAAACACATTACAAGAAATGAACCAAATATCTAACTTAACTGTTTAAAAAGTATTGGCGTGGTGAGAAAACGTGTGCCAGTAGTGGTAGTAGTAGTAGTAGTAGTAGTAGTAGTAGTAGTAGTAGTAGTAGTAGTAGTAGTAGTAGTAGTAGTAGTAGTAGTAGAAGTGTCAAATGAAACAAATATATTAATTTGATTATTCAGAAGTGATACACATAAAGAAGAAAATTTATGGATGTCAATTATGAGGAACACAACGTTCCGGATATATGCTTACTCCTTCATCAGGTGAATGGATGATATGATGCAGAGAGCATATATATGTACGTGTAAGAACAACAAAGTAATAAGATAACAAAAGGTGGAAACTTAACAAGGGAAGCAAATTGGCACTTATAGGTGATTAATAAACTAATGTCCAAAAGAAACGATACCAACTATTTTTTGTATTATTTTTTTTTGTATGTGATCTATTTTATATGAAAACATACTTAAACATGTCCCACGTACCAAGCCAAATCCGATCGGTGGGGAAAAGCGGGAAAAATTGACAATTTGGAAAACGATGTCAGGTGCGGTAGCATGAAATGCACGTGCAGATCTACTGTCTAAAACTGTTGACACTATACATTTGGAACACAACACCAAAAAGCACACCAAAGAAATAGCACGTTTAACTGTGACAGAGATGGAGAGAGCCGTAGAAATGGCCCAACGAAGAGCGACGCACGCCTTCAATGCCAGAACGTTTAGATGCGCCCGTATAACTGTTACCAGGTTGATGCAACGGTTATGTCAGACAATAATCATGGAATCATTTTCCAGCACGATAATGCGACGCCGCATACGGCATGGTTGACCTTAACAACGCGAACATTCAGGTTTTACCATGGCCGTTATGTTTGTCGGACATGAACCCCATTGAAAATTTATAGGATCACCTCGATCGCTAAATCAGAGGTCGACCAGTGGGTCAGGTCAACCACCAGCAATTGGAACAATTCCTCCTTGCCGAATGGCAACGCAATTCCCCCCAACATCTTTCGACGTTTGACGTAATCGGCCCGTCGACGTGTTCTGGCGTGTATTAATGCTCAAGGTGGACATACCCGATATTAATGTGACATTATGAAGAGTATTCTGACATTTTACACACTTGCCTCGTCATGTGTTATGACTGTGGCTTTCATTGTTGACACGACTCTTTGGGTCTGTCCGTCTACATATTAAAGTTTGATTGAAATTATTGTTTGTACACATAATGTTAAAAGATAGCTCTAATGAAATATACCAATATGAATTTTCTATATGGTTTTGTTTTTTTTCCATAAACTTTCAAACACTTGGTATCGTTTCTTTTGGGCATTAGTTTATATGAACATGTGCTTGTCACGTGCGTGAATGCACTCAAAAGGAAACTGTTATTACAAAAGCCCATGACGATACGTTCATGTAAATAATAATAAATTAAATACATCACGACTTGAACTGTGAATGACCTATAGCAACAATGTGTAGCAAACACCATATTGTGGGAAAACTGCATAACAATTTATATGCAATCAAACGTCCACCTGAAAACATTGACAGTAAAGCATTAAACAAGCCTGTCCCCTCCTTGAGGAACATAAAACCTTAGAAGGCTTTTAAAGGCTCTCATTAAATGAATACTCCAGCACGTTTGGCCTATTTTGGGAAAAGTTTGTCACAGTCACAAGACTATGACGGGAGGTGGTCCCAACCGGGGGTGCAATTTCCAATGTTGAGGGGCAAAGTTTACGGCAGGGAGTCACGATGCAGGGTGGTATAAATGAGGGGGTATTTGTCTTGAAACTCGAAGTTGGAATCATCGTTCTCGAGGCTGACTGCAAAATTCACAGCGTCTGGACGATATTCGACAGGTTTGTTTGTTACTTTATTTTCTAAGTTTTATTTGTTTGTTTGTTTTTTGTTTTAACGCCGCACTCAGCAATATTCCAGCTATATGACGGCGGTCTGTAAATAATTGAGTCTGGACCAGGCAATCCAGTGATTGACATCATGAGCATCGATCCACGCAATTGGGATCGATGACATGCATCAACTAGGTTAGCGAGCCTGACCACCCGATCCGGTTAGTCGACTCTTTCGACAAGCATAGTCGCCTTTTACGACAAGCATGGGTTGATGAGGACGGATCTTCACGGGTCTCTAAGTTGTATTACATGTTTTATTAATTATTATTATTATTATTATTATTATTATTTTGATGACCTGTCAACTGGCAACTGCATCTTGTAGTGATGGGTTAGAGGCCTCTAAATATCGTGACATAGTCTAAAGCAAAAAAGGTTCAATTCGATGTGCTATTATTTTCTGATGCCTAAAACAGAAAATGCCTCTCTTTTACTGTCGTTTGATAATAAGATGTTATTGGGGAAATAAGAATTTAACTGGATAATAATAGTTTAATCGAATAATAAGACTTTAATTGGTTAATAAGAGTTTAACTGGGTAGAAGAGTTTAATTGGATAAAAAGAGTTTAATAGGATAATAAGAGTTTAATTTTGTTAAAGATCGATCCTATAAGCTAAAAAGATATAAAGGTATTTCTATTCTGCCTTGGGTTCTTTGCATGTGTTTCGGCGATGAAGGCAAGATGTTCATCCGTTTTAAGGGTTGGAAAATTCTAGATGTTTGTTTCTCCCAATACGCCATAAAATGGCATCCTGCTACCTTAGTCTGTCAAGTGATTTGTTTTGTTCAAAGTAAATAACATTGATCAGTAGTGTAAAGCTCCACATATACCACAGACAAAAATATGGGAACTGATGTTGAGATAGTGAATGTGTGATGACTTCTGTAAAAGTGATTTCGGTCGTGTTGATCTGAATATCTGGTGTGTCCACCATGTTGGGCAATACATGCACGACACCTTGATGGCATACTGTTGATTAACTTGCGTATTGTTGCCCTTGGTATTGCCCGTCATTCCGCCTGAGGAACTACCCCAAGCTGGGTCACGTTGGCGGGTGCTGGGTCTCTGGCGTACAGGCGCGGTCGGGTAGTCTAGTGGTTTAAGCGTTCGCTCGTCACGCCGAAGACCCGGTGTGAAGCCCATTTCTGGTGTCCCCCGCCGTGATATTGCTGGAATATTGCTAAAAGCGGCGTAAAACCATACTCACTCACTCACTTACTCACTCACTCAATCTGGCGTACACTCTCCACCCGAGATATAACCCCCAACCATGACACTACTGCCCCCAAACCGATAATGGTCAAGAATTGTCGCCAACAGCGTTTGCTGCCATCTGTGTGAATCGGATGCAAAACCTTGATTCGTCTGTAAACATGGTCTGACACAATTGGCGCACATCCCGTCCATGGTGTTGCCTAGCCCACCCAATCTTTGCCGACTATGGTACACTGTAAGGGTCAAACCTTCACAGGACGCCTTCCTTTAAGAAAGAAAGGTTTTTAACGGTAGATATTGAAATTAGCCTTCCTGTTACTGTTCGGAATTCGGTAGTGTCAGCAGGAACAGATTTGAATCTATTGCATAGTGCAATTAATGTAATGAGAGCCTGCCATAGGTCTCATTGCAGCCCCACCCGTTTGACGGTACTTGTCCAACAGTCGAGAAATTACCCTTTTCTTTACATCCCATACATTCGCGGGCAACTTGGGATATTTACGTCCAATCCCTCCCCTCCCTTTCGGACATTTTGAGGACAATTCCATAAGTAATGGGGAGTACATACTTTGGCTTCTGTGTGCTGCTTATGCATGATGTGAACTTTCATTGTGATTAGATGTTGCGTTCAGATTATAAATGTACACTCAATGATAGCTACATTCAAATCATTAGTTCCCTTATTTTTGGTCGGTAGTATATCTATATAGACCATGTCATAATTGTTGTCAGTTCCTTACACCAGAGCGATGACAGCCTAGGACCTGCATCATTTCGGGCTTTCCTCCCACATTATGCTGACCAAATCGATCCGTTGGTCAGGCTCGCTGACTTGGTTGAGAGCATGTCATCGTAACCTGAAAGAACAGATCGTTGCTCATATTATAACTGGGCTCTCTGGTCCACTCACTCCAACGTCCCATGAAGATCCGGGGTAGAATAGGTCTTCAGCAACCCATGCTTGCCGTAAAAGGCGACTATGCTTGTCGTAAGAGGCGACTAACGGGATCGGGTGGTCAGGCTCGCTGAATAGGTTGAAGAATGTCGTCGTTTCCCAATTGCGTGGATCTATGCTCATGATGTCAATCATTGGATTGTCTGTTCCAGACTCGATTATTTACAAACGCCGTCATATAGCTGGAATATTGCTGAGTGGGGAGTAAAACAAATTTGATTTCCCAATTTACTGAAAACAAACGTCGGAAAGATTGAAAATTATTCGACGCTGAGGTTGCATTACTGCTGACCATCGCAAAATTGTACTATAAGTTGAAATAATGTTGTTCTTTTTCCAAACAGTTTCAATTTTCTAGTGGCCCATTGTGTGAAATCTTTTGGATAGTTGAAGCTCGTGAAAGAGACAATCAAAAGATTTTTTTTTTCTTGCAGCTATGGAAGGTGTTGTAAAGACTCTGATGGTGCTGGTCATAGCGTGTACCATCGGTGCCTGTCTTGGCATGCCGTCTACAGGACGTCCTGATGGTCCTGGTCGTCCTTTGGAGGAGGTTAACATGACGAGGCCTGACGATCAGCTGGAAATCGGTGCAGACCGGAGACAGGACCCTGAAGATCAACGGCAAAATGCCACAGAAGGGAGACCGGAAAACCAGCGGAAAGACGCCGCAGAAGGAAGACCGAAACCTGAAGATCAGCGGAAAGACGCTGCAGAAGGGAGACCGTTACCGGAAAACCAGCGGAAAAATGCTGCAGAAGGGAGACCGATACCAGAAGATCAGCAGAAAGATGCTGCAGAAGGGAGACCGAAACCGGAAAACCAGCGGAAAGACGCCGCAGAAGGGAGACCGAAACCGGAAAACCAGCGGAAAGACGCCGCAGAAGGAAGACCGAAACCTGAAGATCAGCGGAAAGACGCTGCAGAAGGGAGGCCGATACCAGAAGATCAGCAGAAAGATGCTGCAGAAGGGAGACCGAAACCGGAAAACCAGCGGAAAGACGCCGCAGAAGGGAGACCGAAACCTGAAGATCAGCTGAAAGACGCTGCAGAAGGAAGACCGATACCTGAAGATCAGCGGAAAGACGCCGCAGAAGGGAGACCGATACCTGAAGATCAGCAGAAAGACGCCGCAGAAGGGAGACCGATACCTGAAGATCAGCAGAAAGACGCTGCAGAAGGGAGACCGATACCAGAAGATCAGCAGAAAGATGCTGCAGAAGGGAGACCGATACCTGAAGATCAGCAGAAAGACGCTGCAGAAGGGAGACCGATACCAGAAGATCAGCAGAAAGATGCTGCAGAAGGGAGACCGATACCTGAAGATCAGCAGAAAGACGCTGCAGAAGGGAGACCGATACCAGAAGATCAGCAGAAAGATGCTGCAGAAGGGAGACCGATACCTGAAGATCAGCAGAAAGACGCTGCAGAAGGGAGACCGATACCTGAAGATCAGCAGAAAGATGCTGCAGAAGGGAGACCGATACCTGAAGATCAGCAGAAAGATGCTTCAGAAGGGAGACCGATACCTGAAGATCAGCAGAAAGATGCTGCAGAAGGGAGACCGAAACCGGAAAACCAGCGGAAAGACGCCGCAGAAGGGAGACCGGAAACTGAAGATCAGCGGAAAGATGCTGCAGAGGAGAGACCGAAACCTGATCAGCTGAAGGACAGCGAGGCAATTTGATATACCGACCATAGCATGCCCCAAATATATACCGATGTGGACTTCATGCACACATGTACTTCCATATGTTCTTCTTTTTCACATTAGGGTGGCGATACATTTTTGAGTAAATATCTAAAAGAGAAGTTATCCGTGAAACTACGCTCCCAATGACATTTGCTATCAGAAAACACACATACATTGTTTGTCAATATGAAAGCTAAAAGTCAAATTACCCTCTGTTGTAAATGACGTTTTCGAATTTCGTAAAATATTCCTGAAATTAAGAAATACACAGTTGTACGTGTACGTGAACATGATAAATGACTTCAGCGACGTTTAATGATGCTTTCGAATTGTTAAAGCAAATCAACATTATAAATACATGAAATAATTATTACTTTGTATTTCTTTAGACGTCTTGAAATATGAATCTACTGTATCTGATTGTCTCTTAATTAAAATGTAAAATCAACTTTGAATAATAAATTCCCCTTTCTTCTTCAATTATCATATGTATTTCTTTAATTAGTGAGTGAGTGAGTTAAGATTTAACGTCAAATCGGCAATATATCAGCCATATCGTGACAAGATTTCTTTAATTAAAGACGCCAAACGTTGTTTATGTTTCGGAAATATTCCAGCTATATGACGGCGGTCTGTAAATAATCGAATCTGGATCAGTCAATCCAGTGGCTGACATCATGAGCATCGATCTACGCAATTGGGATACGATGACATGCATCAACCAAGTCAGCGAGTCTGACCACCCGATCACGTAAGTCGCCACTAACGACCAGCATTAGTTGCTGAAGAACAATTCTAGATCTAATCCGGATCTTCACGGCTATACTCATCCTATACCGTGTTAGGATGACACATCACTAGTTTAAATACATACTTCATCTACTTTTAATTCGCTCATTCGTTGGAGTGTGTGTTCTTGTCTAACGACATACTCAGCAAGAACCTAGCTACAAAACGACGGCCAGTATATAAAATCAATTCTGGATCAGACAATCCAGTGATTGATCTCATGAGCAACGATCCATGCAGTCAGGGTACGATGACACGCAATCAACCAAGTCACCAAGCCTGACCACCCGATCCCGTTAGTCGCCTCCTACGACCAGCATTGGTTGCTAGGGACCGATTCTAAACCCGAATGGCCACTGAGATAACGTACACGCTTATTATGGTGAAAGGGGGCGGTCGGGTAGCCCAGTGGTTAAAGCGTTCGCTCGTCACGCCGAAGACACGGGTTCGATTCCCGACATGGGTACAATGTGTGAAGCCAATTTCTGGTGTCCCCCGCCGAGATGTTGCTGGAATATTGCTAAAAGCGACGTAAAACCATACTCACTCACTCGCTCACTGTTATTGTGATAGGTTAAAGCGTTCGCTCGTCAAGCCGAATGTCCGCATTCGATTACAAACATGGGTACAATGTGTGAAGCCCATTTCTGGTGTCAACCTCGCCCTAATATGGCTAGAACCTTGTTAAAAGCATCATGACCAAAACCAAATGACGATGTTTATCGCTAGCAAAATGGATATATCTTGAAATGCGCACATTACAATTTTCGTTATTACTGTAAGTAATAAACTCTTCAAAAAGAGAAACGCAAAGCCATTTTTGTGTGAGGTAGGAAATATACATTTATACGAGGGACCGTACAAGGTATTGAGCCAAAATGTTGTGGAGAGAACAATTGGTGATTGTAGTCATCTCAGTTATACGTACATAGGAAAAGTCCAAGTGAAGGTCATCTACCATCAATAACGCGTATGTCCCCGTTGGAATCGATAGCGGCCTGACATCTCCTGCCCATGGAAGACACGAATCGCATCCTTGGGAATGGTAGCCCACTCGCCCTGCAACGAAAAGGCCAACTGCTGCAACGTCTGGGGCTGTGGTTGACGTCGGCGTAGCCGTCTATCCAATTCATCCCACAGGTGCTCTATCGGGTTCATATCCGGGGATCTGGAGGGCCAGGGGAGAACATCAACGTTGTTGTTGTGTGGACAGGCTCTTGTGATCCGCGCTGTCTGCGGTCAAGCGTTGTCCCGCTGCCTCGAATACATCGTTGCCGTTGGCTGCAATTGGGAGTACGTGTGGTAGGAGAATTTCGTTGATATATCGTTGAGCCGTTACATTGTCCTTGATATGGACCAAACCTGTCCTGCTATGATTAGAGATAGCCGCCCACATCATAACGCTACCCCCACCAAACCTGTTCACTTCCTGTACGCAGTTTCCGGCTTAACGTTCTCCCCGACGTCTGCAGATCCGTGCTCTTGAACCAGACATCTCTCCATCGCAGTTGAGGTCATGCCCTGTATTGACGACACAAATGCAGTCGTTGTTGACGATGTTGTCGACTCAATATGACGCGTCGAACAGGACATTTTTCTCGTAGACCTGCTGCTATTAAACGGTTTCGTACGGTCTCTTCGGAGATTCTGCGCAGTACGGGTATTCATGTAGGTGGCACAGTCGGATGAAGCGATCTTGAGCGGGGGTGGTTACGATCTTGGCCAATCACGTGTTGACCCATGCTGTTGAAACCGATCCCATAGCCTGGGATGGTGCTGGGCGCTACATTGAAAACCCAGCTACAGCTGATCGGGATTCCCCTGCATGCAAGCGGCCTATGACGTTGTTTCTTTACACTTCTGTTAATCTTGGCATGTTGTTGAACTGTCACTGTTCGATTGACGCAGTGTTTTCACTTTATAAGTATTATCATGCATTTACAATGCCTGTCAGGTAAGCGAATGGCGTATTACGATGGGAAAAACTGTGTTTGTGCAAATACAACACCATTAATGTATCTTGTTTCAGGCAAGGGAGTTAACTGACTTTCAAAGTCCAATTTCCACCCTTGCCGAACTAGGCTTGAATTATGGAGTTTCACTTTGGCTGGACTAACGAGTCTATGCATAGTCCAATCAAAATCGCGTATTAAACAAAAATCGACACCCGGTTCGTAAACTGCAGTGCAGATTTCGGTCGACTGCAGGATTTGCAAAGCATGTATACCGCAAGCTCGGCGTCAACAGATATTTTCCAAATCTTTCCATGTTTTTAATAAAGGTGCTCACGTGATTTGATAAACTTCGCGAAGTAAGATTACGGTGTAAGAATGGAAGAAATATACCACAGGTTGTAATCAATAAAGCTGTATGATTTCATATTTACTCACCAACTTCTATAACGCAGTCAAACAACTATTTTGACTTGTAATACAATCTACTGATTGTTTTGTCACAGGAAAAGTGTAAAACGAACGAAATTGTCACTCAGGCAATTTATAAAACGCCTAAATATTTCAGTTACTTCACAAAATTGACTAAAACATCTGTCCATCTATTTTATTATGATAATGACTTTCAAACATTTTGATGTTTAATTTCTGAAAATTAATTGACGGAAAATGATTGGATTAAAAGGAAACGAAAGTTATTTATGTTTTTTTGCTTCTAATCCTGGCATGAGTCTAATGGGATGTTTTTAAGCCCTTTTGAACTTTTTAATAAGTTTTAGTCAATCTGTTAAGAAGATGGGCCGATTTTTCTGTCAATTTGTATAATTTGTTTATAAGCAACATTTTGGACATTGACTATCACATATACACGCCTACAAACGAAACGGCTTGTTAAAACAACGACCTAGTGTTGGCTGTCTCGCATCAAAGAACTTCCGAACGATAACGTGGTAACAAGAATGATTCTGTTATATAAATGCTAAAGCAAATGAATGTAAACAACCGACAAAAGTTGTTCGTATAATATAGGCAGTTACATTGTTCGAGGAATGTATTCGAACAATATCCCATACATGTGCAGCTGTACAAAGGAACTTGGTCTTTGTAATAATCTCATATTCTATAATATATATAGCGTTTCGGGATATTATAACTCGTGTTCGTTTCTCAACTGATCACGTAAGTTTGGTTAATGTGTTCCACATAGGTGTCAAGTTTCATTGGTCAGCTGAGAAAGCACACGTGCCAACTATGTTCACGATGTCCACGGTTCTATAAATAAATACATTGATTTTGATAACAATGAGCAATCAACGTATTGTCGGCTAACCCTTGGAACAAATTGTTGGGTTTTTTTTATCGGCACTTCACGCCTAGATATGGGTATATTCCGTCTGCTTTAGTAATTAGGAAGTAAACCTACACGTACAAACACTTATACTTTGGCTGGTTGGTTGGTTTCTTGTTTAACGCCGCACTCAGCAATATTCCAGCGATATGACGGCGGTCTGTAAATACTCGAGTCTGGACCAGACAATCCAATCCAGTGATTGATATCATGAGCATCGATCCACGCAATTGGGATCGATGACATGCATCAACCATGTCAGCGAGCCAGAACACCCGATCCCGTTAGTCGCCTTTTACGACAAGCATGGGTTGCTGAAGACCTATTCTATCCCGGAATCGTCACGCGGCACTTATCACCGTGAGTGATTAATCAATCAACATATTATCGGTTACCCCTTTGATTGTCAAACTAAACAAATTCCTCTCTTGTTGCGCTGTCACATGCATATTATTACAAGGTTAAAATGCATCTAAAAAACATTAGAAAATTGTAACAAAATTGTAACAAATAAAACCTTGGATAGCTTCAATGATGTAGTTGCATTATACGTAAAGTTCGTGACATTAACTTGGGTTAAGAAGGGAATTTATAGAGAAAGGACATTTCACATTTGTCATCGGATTGTTTCCACGTTGTCGTCGATTAGTTACTTAATCAGCAGAGAGCAAGGGCCGGTACATGAATTGTGATGGAGACAGTTCGGAGTAAGGACCGACAGACCAAGCACTCCTTTCCTTTAAAGATCCTTGGCTACCAGGCAACTTGTAGAGCCATGGCTTACATTGACCATGACGTCGCGGAACGACAATTCGGTTAGGTAACTGTTGTAGGGGCCAGTTAACCTCACAACGCAGTTGCGACAATATCACATAACATGTAAAACATTCGCCACAAGAGACCTGGATTTATAAGCCGATCTTAGATTGAATAACTACCCAAGAACTAGAAATGCCAAAGAGGAACCACTAATTATACCTGTAATAAATTCATTAAGTGGGCATCAAGTGAATGACGACAATTACACAGGTGTAGGGTTCATTCTCTGTTGACTATGAGCTATACAGCTCATCGGTGCATTTACATATTATTATGATACAGGCCAAGCAAAGGCAATATAGGACAATGTACAGAGTTATAACATGAAACATGGATGACAACAAAGGAGTAGTAATTGTTGAATAATGTGCAATTTAGTATCTTGAAAAATAAGGGTCGTTGTTGTTTTGAATATATGAACTGAACTTCATTGTTGTCAAAATAATACGTACATGTGTTTGCTGTATACGCATGTATTTCATGCCCTCTCAAATGAGGGGGCACGGGTGGCCCAGGCGTCTAAGGCGCCGCGATTCGCTGTGCAGAATTGCGTCCCTTGGGCATGCCAGAAACCTATGATTGCGGGTTCGAATCCTGGTGCGCCCCGATTATGTTTCTAGGTTTGTCAGCACCATACCCGTGCTCGTGGGTTTCACCGAAGTGGTAAACGTCTGAGACCTGCATCACTTCGGGCTTTCCCCCACATTAAGCTGACACGCCGCAATATAACTGGAATACTGTTAAAAGCGGCGTAAAACCCAACTCACTCACTCACTCACTCTCAAATGAAGATTTGCAGAGGATGTAGAATTGCAGGGTATGTAGAAAAGTGGTTCGTCCGTCACGTTTCGTTTCCGCAGCATAACTCATAAACCATTGTTACTTTTTCATGCAACTTTGTATACACATCAGGACCTTGTTCTATTCGGGAATATTTCTTTGCGTTCCCATGGCAACAAGTAAGACTTCATACGAGGCTAGGGATTGTTTCCAGAGCATAGTTCATCAAATAATTCTCAAATAATTGTTTGTATCAGGGAAGTGCTGAACTCTAGGGTTTTGCTATTGAGGTGTTTTTGTTGTTTTTAGCTTTTTAGGTTCAAATGATGCTTTCATTTTGCGGTTTACTCATCTGTCATACTGTCAGTTGTACTCACAACCCTTTTTGATATAATGATGTATAATTATGACATATATATTGTTTGACTTATGCACATATTCAAATTTGGAGGGTATTGATAACTTCTTGTTCAGTTTACACCCGATAGTCGATAGTATACCAAAAAACATATGCAATGGCAAAACCGGGTTTCATTTACGGCCTCAAATAAATCAACCTTTTTAAATAAATCAACCTTTTTTAGTGTTATATGTCTATTGACATTACACTATTACATGACATGAATAAATATCAAGCTATGAATCACAACAAGGGCGGATCCAGCATGTTTAGGAGGGGTCCAAAATATCAAAAAAACTCTCTCATATAATTTTACTGCCTACAACATACTACATTTGGTATTCAAGGATGGGGGGGGGGGGGGGGGGGGGGGGGCAGAGAGAGAGATCCGGAACGGCACAGACTTCACTTGAACGATGTAAATCCCGACACCGCGTGTAACAAAGAGGACGCTGCAAAGAGCTCAATGTTATCCATACCGCGCATAAGGCTGCAACTTTGCGTTACCAAATTTGTGAAACATGCTGCTCAGAGTTTGTACATGTTGACAAAATGGCAGCCTCCTGGTGTCACATGCGATTTTTCTATCAAAGATATGGCCTAAAAATATACAAGGGACATCGGATTCATGCATCGAGTGCATCGAAAAGCTATACGGTATTTGTCAGCTTACTTCAGCAATTTACTGTGACATTATATTGTTGACACTGCCATAGCAAAGCGTAAATTTGCTATAAATTTACAAATTGAATTATTTTGTAAGATGTCATCAGCTGGCTGTCACGGCTGTTTGCCATCAGCTGGTGACCTCTGAAGATTTCTATCCTTTGTAGCATGTATTCACTAATACCAGAGACCATATGATAGAGGATCTCTGCTAATACTTTGCACAAGTAATGTATCTATTGTGCACACACCATGCACATGTGAATCGTATGATTACACTGCTTACAGAGTAACGAAGTGCACGAAAATATGTTGTTTGTTTGTTGTTTCCCGTCGCACTCAGCAATATTCCAGCTATGCATCAACCAATGCAGTGAGCCTGACAACCCGAAACTGTCAGCCTCTTACGATAAGCATGGGTTGCTGAAGATCAATTCCAACTCGGATCTTTATGCATCGAAAATCTGTGCCGTGAAAGAGAGAAATCAATCTGGTTTGGTTTTGCCGAAAATGCATATGGGACTAATTCATATTTGACTAACTGTACTTGAACATTTGTTGAAGTCTTGCTTCTGCATTGATAATTACTTCATAGAGTATACAACCATATCACTATAATTAGTAGTGTAACCGGGTTTTCTTGGTTTCTTGAATATAGTTCAACAGAAACAAAACTTGAAATAGATTTATTTACAAAAAAACCAACTAAAATGCAAATATATACACCTGCTACAGCAGTAAATTTCACACTGTGGAACTAATTAAATCTGATAAAGTCATTTGTGTATAAAGTCATGGAAAAGTCATAAACTTTCTTGAAGTTTAGTGTACCACAGACTTGTTATATAGGTATGTGAGTGTACGAACCCTGTTCAGATCTAATTGATACTCAAGCTTAGATATTGACACTTGACTGTTCCCATGTGGAGACTAGGATATATATCTCCCTCCCCGAGAGCCACCATGGGATCCTACAGTCGGGACATGACTGTGATGTAGGACCCCATCGTAGCTCTCGGCTAATATCTCCCAGCAATTAATCTATGCTTGCAAGGCACCTACATGGGTCAGGTGGTGATGAGGTTGATTGTGTGTCATCATACCCAGATGGAGTGGGATGATGCTCATGGTATCAACCACTGGTTCGTCTGGCCCAGATTATTATTTACAGACTGTCGTCTTATAGCAGGAATATTGCTGATTGTGGCATTACACAGCAAACAAAGAAACATACATGTTATGATCTGACTGGTGATGTTTGTTCAACATGTTGTGATATATTTGTGGAACCTGTATGGTAATGAAAGTCTTGTTTGTACATTGTCAGATATTGAGACTGTTTCATGCTTTTTGTAAAGTATGAAAAAAACAGATTTTAACGAATTGCAAAGAAATGTGTTTTTCAGACTTCACAAGATGAGACATACATGGTATATGACAAAAAGCATGAAATAAGTCTTTTTATGACTTTTGATGTAAATAAGACTTTTATCCTTTTCACATAACTGCATATGTCCACTCGTTTATATAACAAACAGGCCTATTCAACGACTACTGGTAGCAGAAACCCAGAGCATACATCTTCCAGAGTGTCTTCTCACCCAGGAGAGAAGAAAGGTAAGAAGCCTGATGTCATCCATCCTTTGAGAGATATATTCAGGGATGGATCTTTTAATATTTGGTAGGCATTCCTTCAAGAAAATAGAAACAAGATAAGTTTTTTGTATTGCTCAACGCATACCGTATTTGACGCAGTCAGCGCCCTGGGCGCTCTCAAAATTAGAAAATGGGGGCTGTTATTAGAATATAATTTGTGGAGAAAAAAAAACAGAGTTGAAAGATCGTTAATTTCGTGGTTTATGCCGACAGCCTGAATGATACAAAAGAAAAGTATGGGCGTATCATACACGACAGATATATTTTCCAGAATTTGATTGCCCATAATAAAGGGTGCATATAACACATGAGTGCGTATTATACACGAATAAATATGTCTTGTGTACATTGATCAATCGGAAGGGGTGCTAATTGGGATTGTTTACTAGCCAATTTATCAGCAAATATCGCCATGGGCGCTTATTAGAGCGGGGCGCTTATTCAGCGAATACGGTATTTATTTTAACAGTACATCCAGCATGTCCAGCAGACAATTGTGCATTTAAAAATAAAATATGGTTAATATATAATGTAAAGCAACCAATGATGATACTATATCTATCTCAGTGATGACAATTTTTAGTACCAGAAAAGATATCACTTGATAAGACCATACTTATCTTATTTATGGTTTATAACTTTCATGCTAACCAATTAGCTTGAGTAGGTCGAAATATTGGTACATATGTGCAGCTCTATGGTTTTGTTGGTAGAATATCTTGTTTCAGTGGTAAAAATAAATTCTAATACTCAATGTTCAACAAAATCACAAATTCTTGTGTCCGAGCTGATGAGTTGCCTAAGTAATATTTTGTTTTTCATTTGGAACAGGGCTTCATAAAGATGTTTTATTGTGCCCTTTTACAATTTAAGTGTGCCAACAAGAACGATACTTTTGATCCTTTTACGATATCTGTGAATGTTATTTCACCTTGACCTTCATAATCAGAAAAGTTTGTCCCATATAAAGTGAGTGAGTGAGTAGGGTTTAACACTGCTTTTAACAATATTCCAGTTATATTCGATGTGTCAGCTTAATGTGGGAGGAAAACCCGAAGTGATGCAGGTCTTAGATGTTTACCACTTTGATGAAACCCACAATCTTCGATTTCTGGAGTGCCCAAGGGATGCAACTCTGCACAGCAAATTGTGATGCCCTAGACGACTGGTGCACCTGAGAAATATTTTGTGAATTTTGCTGTCAGGATGTTCATATGATCTTTATCCATGTGTTTGTCCTGTTTACTTGAGCATTTTACATTTACGGATGACTTTATTTAATAAACAGTTGTTGTTATAACACTTTTAAGTGTGCCCTTCATGCACGTGGAACTTAATCTATCCATGCCATTACAATTTATGTAAACGGCTCTAATACCTGGAATTTTATCAGGGGTAGATTGAAGAACAAATTTGTATATAGCCTGCAGGGCTTGCTCCTTTCAAAAGTTACTGCCCCTTCTCCAAACTAACTGGCCCTTCTCCAAACTAACTGGCCCTTCTCCAAACCTATTTGTTGCAGGCTACAACTGTGTTACCCAGGGGGCTCCCAAAATGTTAGAACTCCTCATCCCTAAAACCTGTTTTCCTGAACTCTGAGATCAAATGTTGGCTTCCAGTTGCCTCATTTCGTGGCGACTTCTGAGCAAACAAAGATGTTCTTGTATACAACATTACAAACTGGTCACCGGTTGTGGCATTGACACGACCTCATCCCCTATATATATTTTCTCACCCAAATCACATGATTCATGAGCAGTGTCCAGGTCACCGACATCTACTTTACATTTCAGCAAGCCTTTCAAAATTGTAACTGGCCACGGGCCAACAGGCCAGCAGTTAAATCGTCCTCTGATATTAATCTTGAAACATGTTTTTTCACAGATGTTTCTGGCCCCCTCCCTCCCACCTACACCCCGGAGTATGTGGAGTCAGGGTGGTACGAGTGGTGGGTACAGCAAGAATTCTTCACCCCACAGGCACAGGTAAGTCTACCAGACCTGTTTCAAAAAGTGATCTTTGTGCTATGACAAACGTAAGCCTATGGATCGCCTTGAGGAACGCATCTTCCCGAGGCAAGAGAGTTAACTGACTTTAAAAGTCCAGTTTCCACCCTTGCCGAACTAGGCTGGAATTCCTGGGCTCGATCGTAGCGCCCCCAGTGGCTATTACAAGTTATGTCCCTTCTATGCCTTTCCTATGGACCAATCAGATTCCACCTCTCGTATCACTTGCTCTTGCTTCAAACAAAATGGCGGCTTACAGTCAAAATGATCTGATTGATAATCAAGGTCTATATTGTGATAAAATGGATCGTACATCGCAAAGTTCATCAAATCACGTGAGAACCTTGATTAAAAACATGAAAAGATTGGGAAAGTATCTGTTGACAATGAGTTGGCAGTGCACATGCTTTGCAAACCCTGCAATCGACCGAAATCTGCATTTCAGTTAACGAACTGGATTTTAATTTCAATGAGCAATTTTGATTGGACTGTGCATTGACTCGTTAATCCAGACTCCATAATACCAGCCTAGTTTGGCAAGGGTGGAATCTGGACTTTTATTGTCAGTTAACTCTCTTGCCTCGGGAAGATGTGTGGAATGGGACGCTGCGTTACAGTAAATAGTTTGGCAGTTTTTGTTAATCACTTGGTGTACAGAAGTATTGAGAAGCCATAAAGGTCTATTTGGCGTATAATCCTCTGTCACCAACCATTGTTTTGTAGTGTACTCCTTCAAGCTATAATTGCTAACAGGAATGATAAAAGCATGTTAATATTATAAAGTAATTATTTTTTATGTTTGTATGTTTTGTTAATTTCTTAAATGTTTTAGAGGCCCTTAAAGGAACAGTAATTGGTGGGGATGAGATTGGTCTTAGGACTGTATCATATTTTGCTGACTGACACACACGCACGCACACTTATGTAACATGTAACACCCCCTCTCTTTTATAAATGACCAGTCTGTAAATAATGTTCAAATTTATAACCTGTGTTTGACAAAATAGAACTGAGTCATTAAAAGTGGGATGACTGCATGGGAGTCTTTCTGGTTTTGAGTCTGCCCCAAAGTGAAACACAGGTTATAATAATCTGGTGCCTCCTTATACAAGTGATTGTGTTCAGACAGACTATCCCACTGTTCACCCAGCAGTGAATGGGTACCCAGTAGGGTCAGATGGAAATGTTTATGCATCAAAAAGGCAGCTATGTTGTCATTATTTCCAGGGAGCAGAGAATACATTTGGAAATGGAATACACACTATCCCGATGATGAGGGTATTGTTAAATATAGCAACATAAGTACGCTACTATTCTTCTTCTTCTTCTTCTTCTTATGATTATTATTATTATTATGATGATGATAATTATGATTATTATTATGATCATTATTATCATCATCATCATCATCATTATTATTACATGCACGCACACACACATGCACGCACACACGCACACATACATACATACATACATACATACATACATACATACATACATACATACATACATACATACATACATACAAACAGATTAAAATACAAAATGCAGCAAACAGGGTTGGTTTCCTGGCAGTCAGGCTGGTTAGGCCATCAACAGCTTAGCACCCTTGCCCCCCTTACATGCAGCCCAGACAGTGAATGGGACTTCTCCGGGGAAGTGCTGCCCAGTCGAACCCATCAAGAACTTTTTATCATTATTATTGGTTACAGGGACTGGTTGGAGGGAAGGAGCCCCCGTTCGTGATGGTCCTCCCACCCCCCAATGTGACTGGAACACTCCACCTGGGACACGCCCTCACTTGCTCTATACAAGATGCTATCATCAGATGGTAATTCTCACCTATCATAAACCTATAGGGGGCTATTGACATTGTACAGGCCTTCATTGCCAAAATAAGGAAAACTACGAACAAGGTTGTGTGTTGTGCAGAGTTATGTTCCTTGAGCACGCCAGGAAGGTATGATCGTGGGTTTATATCTCGATGTGTGAAGCCCATTTCTGGTGTCCTATCTGCATGGAGGACAATCAGACACTCTCCTTTACCAGGGGAGATCTTGCACTGAGGCTCTCTGGTATCTGGGTGAGACCATTGGTAAGCCGCTGTGTGGCAGGCGTTAACCCAGGTTTCGTCCAAATAGACAGGCTTATAGCCTTCTTCTTATTCTTTTTAATAGTGCACAAATAATTGATACACAAACGAATGATATCTGGTCATTCACACATTGCTAGTTTCGACCCTTTCATCTTTTTGTACTGATATCCAAATTTGGAAAGGAGTTTTCAAATGGTCCATTTGGAAATATATAAGTCATGCTCTGTAAGGAGAATTTGTGTTTCTCATGTAAACCGCCGAATCACGTCCCTGACAACTTTCTTATCAAAGGAATATAATTAAATTTTCGTTGTGTTCATGGAAATTCCTGCATTCTGATTAGCTGAATTGGTCACGTGTTATTGCATTCATTTCCCAATGAATGTAAAAAATTAAGCCACGCCCACCGCGGCGCACTACTTTTATTACTTCGGAATGTCGGGGAATCCCAATATTACAGTCGAGGGAATTCCCTTTCTGCTCACGTGTATCGTCATGCACAGGACATTTAGCGACTTTCATGCATATTCATTGTCCAAACTACCCTTTGAAACCGAAGGCCAAGAATGAATGAAACAGCAAACGGGCAGGCTCGCTCGCCTGTTTTTTTCCCGCTCGCCCCGGTTCAACTTTCATGTCTTCGGGTTTCATTAATAACTAGCATTTCTCCAACTGTGATTTACCGTAATCAGGGAAGTAATGTTTGAATCACGCAGTAAATGACCATGTTATTTGAAACTGCCGCCTTCTCTCGGACATATTTCTTCCGGTTCGTTACAGTCTGACTGTTGCAGTTCTTTTCGCCTCTTGCCTTAATTGACAGGTCAAATGAACATTGTTTTAATCCCACTCTCCGTTGATTGGCTACTGACTGTGTAGGCGTGTCAAGTTATGTGCATAAATTAAACGATCACCTGATTCATGTCACGCCACTGTATATATTCCTACACCTGGAATGTTTATCAATGTCGTCATTTTTGTCTGTTTTGATATATGCAACTGTTTTGGGTTAAACTATTGTAGATAAAACATGTTTTACGTTGTCGAATTTAATTATAAGCATTGACTGTATATTTTTTTCGGTTCATTGAGGTATGAATCGAAAAGCCGATGTGCAAACTTTTGTAAGAATCCGCTACGCGGATTCATACAGTTTGCATATCGGCTTTTCGATTCATACCTCAATGAACCGAAAAAAATACACAGTCAATCCTTAACTAACTTTAATTTCCTATCCTGTTTTGAGATGCCCCCTAAGGGATGTGCAGGGGAGCATGTGTTTTTATGAGAGTTCAAAATCATAGGGCGGTCGGGTAGCCTAGTGGTTCAAGCGTTCGCTCGTCACGCCGAAGACCCGGGTTCGATTCCCGACATGGGTACAATGTGTGAAGCCCATTTCTGGTGTCCCCCGCCGTGATATTGCTGGAATATTGCTAAAAGCGGCGTAAAACCATACTCACGCACTCAAAATCTTAACTACGGTTTGTTTGGGAAGCTGTAACACATGAATTCTTCTTTTCATGTACTTTGAAATGTCAAAGAAGGGCGAATGTCTTTCACTTTCAGCCTTAAAGTATTCAAATATTTTAACAACAAAACCTTCCGCATCAGCGGAAAGATGCTTGCACTGAGACATTATGAAATCTAATGCTAACACCGTATTTGTGCGTGCGTGCGTGATTCCTGTGCAACCTTTCGAGTTGAGTTGATTGGTTCAACTGTGTCATATGGCCCTGTGACGCAGGGGTAGCATTATGCAGATGGCTGTTTCAATGAATGCTCGTTCCACCCCCGATGAACAGGTCTGGTTGTTGATGAAATATAGTGATAGCTAAATAGACAGATTTTTTATTCATGCACCGATTGTCTTTAAATGTAATATCTAGTTATGTATGACTGTTTAATAATCTTATACCAACTTTGACTGGAGTAGGTCCAATAGTTTTTCAGATATTGTAGTAAACGTCGGTACCTTAAATTAACTTCCAGACTATAGCTACACCAAAGATGTATATGGCAGTTGAAAATGTGCTGGGCCCATCTACTGGGCTTGCCACTGCAAGCTGGTTATGTAACTCTATTGTTTCTTCCTTTGTTCTTTTGCTGGGACAGAGGTAGGTTGTCCCTGACTGTCTCATTAAATGACCAGACCGGCCTGGGTGGAAGAAGCAAGGTGTACCTGTAATTGAATATTGTGGAGTATTGGATTGAGGGACCCTCCAGACTCAGATTCAGAGATATATGTCAGTGTCAGTATTTGAACTGTATCACAGTTGTGTGAGTTTGGAACTGGTAGGAAGGTATTATGTCACTAAACAGCTGTCTTCTTGATCTCCCGCTGGAGGTCATCACAAACCTGGAGCGACTGTCGTGTTACAGTGTAGTTGCATTCAATGTGGAGGAGTCTACCAATTTGTCGCTTGTGACGATTCAGTTTGACAAGTTTCAATTTGTGAAACATAAGCAGGCTGAAACCCAGGTGCCTACCTCCATCAGCAACAGCAACAGCAACAACAGCAAAATTGATGTGCAGTGGGCAGGTACAGATATACAGACATCTTGTTGCCATGACGACGGATGCGGTAATAATGACTTGGAGATATGTAGTGTGACTGAGCCATCCGATTTCTCATGTTCTGAGTCCTGGGATGGGTGTCATTCTGAATATTCCGAGGTTGAGACAGTGTCTGTGGAAAACAGGAACTATATGTCTCCCAACAGACGTTCTTTGACAACGTACTGTGATACTGAAACCCATCATCATGGCTCCTCAATGTCAGGACATAATCAGGACCACTCTGAACATGCTGAAGTGACTGAAACCTATCACTATCGCTCCAGAACCCACCACCCTGGCTCCTCAAAATCTGCAGCACGTCATCATGGCTCCTCGATGACATTTGGAGCCAATGAGCATGACTCCTTGATGCCTGGAGCCAGTCAGCACGGCTCTGAAATGACTGCAGCCCATCCGTATGGCTGTATGTCTGGAACCAATCGCCATGGCTCCTTGATGAGTGGATCCCAGCAGATTGGCTCCTCTTTGCCTGGAGCCTTTGTTCATGGAGCCAATGAGCATAGACACTGTGTGTCATCCATAACAACGTATCGACAGTACTACCAGCTGGCTATGAAGAATGTCAATTATCACTGGAACAAATTCCCTTCCAGAGAAACGGGGGTGTTCCTCATCCGACAGATGAAACCAGATACAATGCCCAAACTATGTTACCAGGCGTCGGCTCAGTCACAGAAAGACACCTGTGGGCCAGTCACTGTCTGGTGGGTGTACAACAACCGCTCATGGCTCCCGGAGAAGTTACGGAGACAGTTGGTGTACAGGATTCTACTGAAAACCATCCCCCTGGATCAAGGGCGTAATATGGATGTAGCTGTGCCTGTGAGAAAGAGGGAGTTGATTGACATGTTGGTTTTCTGAATGGAACGCTTCATTGGGTTTCCGGGGGCGGAATGAGTCCGAGGTGTCCCGTGCTTGTAGGAAGAGACGACTAACCATGCTAACGAGGATCTGGTGGTTGATTGGCTGATCAGGTGTATTGTAATTGTGCATTGAAAGTGTGGATTGTTGTTCCTGCTATCAAGAACTGGTTTTCATGATGTATACCAATTTTTTATGTTACTTAGGTATTGCTGGCTGCAATGTAAAACATTCATTGATTCACACTCTGAAGTGAAATCCATATTGACTGTTATTTTGTTCCTTGTTTAACACTTTGAGTTAAGTAAAAATGAACAGGAATGCTTTGAAGTTTGAGTCAAGTTGAAAATAGCTGGAACGCTTTTACTAATGTTGAAGATAGTAGAAACACTTTGAGTTAAGTTAAGTTAAATAACAGGAATATACTTTCAGTTAAGTTTCAAATAGCAGGAATGCTTTGAGAGAAGTTATAAATAGCATTAATGCTTTGAGAGAAAAAGCAGGAAATCTTAAGGTAATTTAAGTTTTAACAAAAATTAGAATATATAATAAGTTTATAGTTTGATATTTAGTTTGATATGGTAATAATGATAAAACTGTTTCATTTATCACATTAATTCTTTCTTCCATACTGAAAAACATAATTTCAAGGACATTTGTTTTCATGCCTATAGTGCTTTAAAACAACTTCTTTATTTTATTTATTAAATGTTTAGTTGTCAATTACACCATTACATGTCATTGACAAGATTTTGTGTTGTGATTGTAGAACAAACAAACAACACCAAAGATTGTTTTTGACTGTATAAGCAAGGACAGAATGTATCTCTGATGTATGCTTTTGAATAAATTTGTATGATCATGGAGAGTGTGTTTTGTTCTTAGAAGGGGGATTGGGGGACAGGGGCGGCATGAGTGGCTCAGTCATCTAAGGCTCCGCAATTCACTGTGCAGAGTTGCATCCCTTGGGCTTGCCAGAAACCTATGATTGTGGTTTCGAATCCTGGTTCGCCCCGATTATTTTTCTAGGCTTGTCAGCACCATGCCCGTGCTCGTGGGTTTGTTTGAAGTGCTAAACGCCTGAGACCTGCATCACTTCGGGGTTTCCTCCCACATAAAGCTGACATGCCGCGATATAACTGGAATAAATGGAAAAGCGACGTAAAACCCAACTCACTCACTCACTCTTAGAAGGGAGCCCCATTGCAAGCTTTCTCTGTGCCAGAGTTTCATGCCAGAAATATACGGTGAAACGGAAATACCTGTTCAAAGCGACATTAAACCAAACTCACTCACCCACTCTATTCAGACACTTGATGATCCGGGGTAGAATAGGTTTCAGCAACCCTTGTTTATTGTAAGAGGCGACTAACGGAATCGTGTGGTCAGGCTTCTGACTTGGTTGATGCATGTCATCGTATCCTAATTGCATAGATCGATGCCATGGGCGGATACAGAGGGGGGGTGCGCACCCTCCCTTTTTATTTCGAAAAAAATCTCTATTTCTGTATAAATTACCACCAAAGACAATAAATAGATCTTAATTGTGTACCCCCCCTTTTCAAAAAAGCTGTATCCACCCATGGATGCTCATGATGTCAATCACTGTACTGGCTGCTCCAGACTCAATTTAATGTTCTGTAATATTGCTGACTCTGGTTTTAAACAACAATGAAACAAACAATCAAACAAACAAACAAACAAAAACTATTCGGATGACCATGGCTAGGAAGACTCCTGGCAGCATCCTGTCTGTGGACTCCTCTGCAGGGTTTGTCAGATCTCCATGGTAACAGGTGCTGAATAGGGAGTAAAACATGATATTTTAATGAGATTGCTTTCGGCTTATAACTTAAATTTTTTTGTCGATTGGTCTTCTTTCTCTCTCATCCTGTTCAAGACAGTGAGGAATGTGGACCATCAAGCGAAACACTGAGAGTAATTGTTTGATTGGCATTCTAGTAGTTGGTGAGTAAGTATGAAAACATAATTTGGATATCTTTATGTAGAGGGGAATGTCCGAGTAACTCTCCATTCCTGAAAAACAATGGAGCAGAGGCCCCACAGGGGCTGAGGCCCATTATTTATAGAAATGGAGAGTTACGAGGATATTCCCCTACTTAAAACTCATCCCTACTTTTAAACTTTGACAAAATATTCTGTGTATATTCTGTGGAAAATATTTGGCAAATATACCAGAACTCTTTGTTGTCTATTTATACTGCGTGAGTCGCCCTTGGGTGATGCACGAGGAATGCGTTCGCTGCCACTGTTGCACGTGCGCCAAGCTCCGTTGCAAGCTGACATTTATAATGCATGGTACACGGCTCTTTATAATTTCGTTGAGTCCTAAACTAGTATATATCACTCGCTTGCACATTGTCAATACATGCTGAAGGGAATAATGGGAAATATAGAGCCCCGAACAAGGACATATATATTACCTGATTTGTTTACACTTGTAAACATTGGATGCTTATACAATGTTAGACCTGACCTCGAAAGGCTCATATTATCAACCACTGGTTTGCCCTGGCTAAGACTTAAATATTTTTCAAAGCCTTAACAGGGTTTTTGAGATACGTAGTTGGAGACCCGGGTAGAAGAGGTCTTCAGCAACCCATTCTTGCTGTAAAAAGGGACTATGCTTGTCGTAAGAGGCGACTAACAGGATCTGGTGTTCAGGCTTGCTAACTTAGTTAATACATGTCATCGTATCTCAAATGTGTGGATCGATGCTCATGATGTCAATCACTGGATTGTCTGGTCCAGACTCGATTATTTACAGACTGACATGTAGCTGGAATAGTTGCGTCCCTTGGGCACCCCAGAAACCTATGATTGTGGGTTCGAATCCCGGTTCTCCCCGATTATGTTTCCAGGTTTGTCAGCACCATACCCGTGCTCATGGGTTTCACCGAAGTGGTGAACGTCTGAGACCTGCATCACTTGGGGCTTTCCTCCCACATTAAGCTGACAGGCCGTGATATAACTGGAATAATGTTAAAAGCGGCGTTAAACCCAACTCATTCACTCACTCACTCACTCCAGGCATATTGAAAATCTATAAAGAATAAATTAATTGGCCTTAAAATAGATCTTGAACTAAGTTTGTACCGTCTTCATGTGTTCCTACAGATAGCTGTTTTTGTTGATTTATAACCCTTATGCTTTATGCAGACTGTGTTGTTTATGACAGGAATCGGATGCAGGGGAGGGAGACGCTGTGGGTGCCGGGATGCGACCATGCTGGGATTGCAACGCAGGTAGTTGTGGAGAGGAAGCTGCAACAGGAACGTCAGCAATCTCGACATGACCTTGGCCGCGACAGCTTTGTGGAGGAAGTGTGGAAATGGAAGAATGAGTAGGTTCAGGATGTGAAAGAAAAAATACTGTATTTGACATAATAAGCGCCCCGCTCTAATAAGCGATATTTGCTAATATATTGGCTAGTGAACAATCCCAATTAGCACTCCTTCCGATTGAGCAATGTACACAAAACTTATTTATTCGCGTATAATACGCATTTTTGTGTTATATGCATTCTTAATTATGGGCAATTAAATTCTGGAAAAATGTATCTGTCGCATATAAACAGTTCAGACTGTCAGCATAAACCATGAAATTTATCTTTCAACTCTGTTTTTTCCACCAAAATAATATTCTAATAAGAGCCCCCTATTTCTAATTTTGAGAGCGCCCTGGGTGCTTATTACGTCGAATACGTTTAACCGTGAAATGAAATCTATCATCAATATATCAAAGCAATTTTTTCAACCAATAAGTCAAGCATTACTTTACCCTATCCTGACTCACACTATTAATTGCTTTAATGTGTGAGTTCAGGATAAGTGCAAATGATATTTTCACATTTTACAAAATACATTTTTAGCATATCAAACACATATCATATAAATGTACAAAGTTGGTACAAGTGAATTAGACTAGAGGTTGGCACCTCATAGTTCTGTTAAAGCACTTTGAATGTTGAATTGAGATGTTCCTTCTGAACCGGTTGTGTGACACTCACTCCATTTCACACTGTTTGAAGTGTCATATTTTCCCCATTTCAGAAAAGGGGAGATAATCTACGAGCAGATGAAGAGACTTGGTTCCTCCCTGGATTGGAGCAGAGCTTCTTTCACCATGGACAATGTGAGTCACCATTGTGGAATTGAATGTGGAATATTTACAAAGTTGGGACGTCGCTAGCTAACTTGTGTACACAAGTGTGAGTGCTGACTGCCCCCAGGGACTCCGGAGTAGAATAGGTCCCCAGCAACCTAGGCTGGCCGCAAGCAGCGACTAAAACCATCGGGTGGTTGGCGTGACAACTTGGTTGATGTGTGTCATCATACCCAGACAGTGTGGATTGCTGCTCATAATTTCAATCACTGGATTGTCTTGTTTAATTACAATCCACTGTTATATATACATGCTTGCCCTTAAAGGCGACTATGCTTGTCCTAAGAAACGACTAACGGAACGGTAGGTCATGCTCGTTGACTTGGTTGATGTATGTCATCCTATTCCAGTTCCGTGGATCTATGGTCATGATGTCAATCACTGGATTGTCCAGACTCAATTATTTACAGACCGCTATCATATTGCTGGGATGTTGCTGAGTGAGATGTTAAACAACAAGCAAACAAACTCTGTTATATAGCCGGAATATTTCTGAGTGCGGTGTCAAACAACAAACGAACAAAAAGAGAGTTGACGATTGACGGGACTGGCTTTCAATATCAGAAGGCCTCCAGCTTCAGAAGCAGCTGTTAAATCCTTTGTGTTGAGGCGTTGAAAATCAACAATCTTCATCAACAAATACCTGTGTGGATATGTCCCATTAATGTTATTGCAACATTTTGTAAACATTTATTGTGTACAGTTTGGTGTAGATTTGTATAAGACAAGGGCATTTTTCTTACACAGAAATTATCTGATGCTGTGGTTGAAGCTTTCGTTCGATTGCACGAAGAGGGACTTATATACAGGAGAAACCGTCTGGTCAACTGGTCGTGTGCCTTACGCTCAGCCATATCAGATATAGAGGTAAGCATATTGTCTAAACAGCTGTATATGGACATAAGCACTTTCTGTATTCAGCCATATCAGATATAGAGTTAAGCACATTCAGCTATATCAGATATAGAGTTAAGCACATTCAGCTATATCAGATATAAAGGTAAGCACATTCAGTTATATCAGATATAGAGGTTAGCCCATTCTGTATATTTCATGTAGAGGTAAGCACCTGCTGTATACATCAGATATAGAGTTAAGCACATTCTGATGTATCAGATATAAAGGTAAGCACATTCAGCTATATCAGATATAAAGTTAAGCACATTCAGCTATATCAGATATAGAGTTGAGCACATTCAGCTATATCAGATATAGAGGTTGGCCAATTCTGTATATTACATGTAGAGGTAAGCACATGCTGTATACATCAAATATAGAGGTTAGCCTATTCTGTATACTACATGTAGAGGTAAGCACATGCTGTATACATCAGATATAGAGTTAAGCACATTCAGCTATATCAGATATAAAGGTAAGCACATTCAGCTATATCAGATATAGAGTTGAGCACATTCAGCTATATCAGATATAGAGGTTGGCCAATTCTGTATATTACATGTAGAGGTAAGCACATGCTGTATACATCAAATATAGAGTTAAGCACATTCAGCAATATCAGATATAGAGTTGAGCACATTCAGCTATATCAGATATAGAGGTTAGCCTATTCTGTATATTACATGTAGAGGTAAGCACATGCTGTATACATCAGATATAGAGTTAAGCACATTCAGCTATATCAGATATAAAGGTAAGCACATTCAGCTATATCAGATATAAAGGTAAGCACATTCAGCTATATCAGATATAGAGGTTAGCCTATTCTGTATATTACATGTAGAGGTAAGCACCTGCTGTATACATCAGATATAGAGTTAAGCACATTCAGCTATATCAGATATAAAGGTAAGCACATTCAGCTATATCAGATATAAAGGTAAGCACATTCAACTATATCAGATATAGAGGTAAGCACATTCAGCTGTATCAGATATAAAGGTTAGCCTATTCTGTTTATTACATGTAGAGGTAAGCACATGCTGTATACATCAGATATAGAGGTAAGCACATGTAGCTATATCAGATATAAAGGTAAACACATTCAGCTATATCAGATATAAAGGTAAACACATATCAGATATCAGATATAAAGGTAAACACATTCAGCTTTACCAGATATAAAGGTGAACACATTCAGCTATATCAGATATAAATGTAAGCACATTCAGCTATATCAGATATAAAGGTAAACACATTCAGCTTTACCAGATATAAAGGTAAACACATTCAGCTGTATCAGATATAAAGGTAAGCACATTCAGCTATATCAGATATAAAGGTAAGCACATTCAGCTATGTCAGATATAAAGGTAAACACATTCAGTTATATCAGATATAAAGGTAAACACATTCAGCTGTATCAGTTATAAAGGTAAACATTCAGCTATATCAGATATAAACGGTAAACACATTCAGCTGTATCAGATATAAAGGTAAGCACGTTCAGCTACATCAGATATAAACGGTAAACACAGTCAGCTATATCAGATATAAAGGTAAACACATTCAGATATAAAGGTACACATTCAGCTATATCAGATATAAAGGTAAACACATATCAGATATAAAGGTAAACACATTCAGCTTTACCAGATATAAAGGTAAACACATTCAGCTATATGAGATATAAAGGTAAGCACATTCAGCTATATCAGATATAAAGGTAAACACAGTCAGCTATATCAGATATAAAGGTAAACACATTCAGCTATATCAGATATAAAGGTAAGCACATTCAGCTATATGAGATATAAAGGTAAGCACATTCAGCTATATGAGATATAAAGGTAAACACATTCAGATGTATCAGATATAGAGGTAAGAATGCTGTGTATATCAGGTATGGAGAAAAGCACATTCTGTTTAATATATTGGGTTCCAGGTGGACAGTGTTGCTGTTTCAGGAAGAACCCTGATGACGGTGCCAGGATATGACCGCAAGATTCCCTTCGGAGTTCTCACGTCATTTGCTTACCCAGTCAGTGAGAAAGGTACATCTGTAGGACTTGACTTGTTTTAGTTTGTGTACTGCAGCAGGACTCCATCGGTATGTCGGGGGATAAACTTACACAGGTGGTTGATAAACAGTCAGTGAAGATTGCTTCAAGGGCAACTTTTGTAAACAAGGAACACCAGAAATAGTGTGTGCCGTACTGTGTAACACCTTTTATACACAAATAAAGACATGCTTTCATTGTTATACTCTAGGCAAGAAACTATATCTGTGTTATACACTAGGGGAGAAACTATTCCCTTTTATGCTCTGGTGAAGAAACTATTTCCGTGTTATACTCTAGGGAGGAAACTATTTCCGTGTTATACTCTAGGGAGGAAACTATTTCCGTGTTATACTCTAGGGAGGAAACTATTTCCGTGTTATACCCTAGGGAGGAAACTATTTCCGTGTTATACTCTAGGGAGGAAACTATTTCTGTGTTATACTCTAGGGAGGAAACTATTTCTGTGTTATACTCTAGGGAGGAAACTATTTCCGTGTTATACTCTAGGGAGGAACTATATCTGTGTTATACTCTAGGGAGGAAACTATTTCTGTGTTATACTCTAGGGAGGAAACTATTTCCGTGTTATACTCTAGGGAGGAAACTATTTCTGTGTTATACTCTAGGGAGGAAACTATTTCCATGTTATACTCTAGGGAGGAAACTATTTCCGTGTTATACTCTAGGGAGGAAACTATTTCTGTGTTATACTCTAGGGAGGAAACTATTTCCGTGTTATACTCTAGGGAGGAAACTATATCTGTGTTATACTCTAGGGAGGAAACTATTTCCGTGTTATACTCTAGGAAGGAAACTATTTCCATGTTATACACTAGGGAGGAAACTATTTCTGTGTTATACTCTAGGGAGGAAACTATTTCTGTGTTATACCCTAGGGAGGAAAATATTTCCGTGTTATACTCTGGGGAGGAAACTATTTCCGTCTTATACTCTAGGGAGGAAACTATTTCCGTGTTATACTCTAGGGAGAAAACTATTTCTGTGTTATACTCTAGGGAGGAAACTATTTCGGTGTTATACTCTAGGGAGGAAACTATTTCCGTGTTATACTCTAGGGAGGAAACTATTTCTGTGTTATACTCTAGGGAGGAAACTATTTCCGTGTTATACTCTAGGGAGGAAACTATTTCCGTGTTATACTCTAGGGAGGAAACTATTTCTGTGTTATACTCTAGAGAGGAAACTATTTCTGTGTTATACTCTAGGGAGGAAACTATTTCCGTGATATACCCTAGGGAGGAAACTATTTCCGTGTTATACTCTGGGGAGGAAACTATTTCTGTGTTATACTCTAGGGAGAAAACTATTTCTGTGTTATACTCTAGGGAGGAAACTATTTCCGTGTTATACTCTAGGGAGGAAACTATTTCCGTGTTATACTCTAGGGAGGAAACTATTGCTCTGTTATACTCTAGGGAAGAAACTATTTCTGTGTTATACAGCAGTTTCTTTCCTAGAGTATAACAGGGAAATAGTTAATCACATGAAAAGTTTCTGCAGTGATCAACGCTGACTGCCCTGATACTGGATGATGTTGCAGATGGTGAGGTTGTTGTATCGACAACACGCCTGGAGACCATGCTAGGAGATGTTGCTGTGGCCGTCCACCCCAATGACAGCCGGTACCGTCACCTACATGGCTGTCATGTGAGACACCCCGTCACAAATCAACTCCTGCCCATCCTGCTGGATGACTTTGTAGATATGGAGTTTGGAACGGGTACGTAGAGTAAGCTGAAGGGTTGGTAGATGACAGTTTGTTCTCATGCCTGCTTCACACAGCTTAAACCTGCAATGCTAAGGGATTATTTCTTCTATGGGAACGTGGGATATTTTGGAAGAAACAGTGTTTGTTACGCCACAACTCTGATCACTCAACATAGATAATTAGACTTTGTATCTGTCGTCTGATTGTTCTAATTTTTTACTTATCCTGCATTACTCCTTAATGCATTCACTGCTTACTTACGACAACTAGAAGGACAGCGCTGCGAAGGTCCTGGGTGAAGAAATAAAGTTGTTGTTCTCAAGTCCCAATCAGTGGCCTTCCGTCGCTGTCCTGTGACCTTGATGACACCTAAGGTCATCTTCACATCACTGCTTGTCGCAGCACAGCTAGGACGTGTCCAAGCGGAGCTCTCCTTTTGGATTAATTTTAGACCTTCAGTTTGTCTACAATCTTAAAAATTGATCTGCGATGGGTGATGTATTCTTTTCATATTACTTTCACCATGTTGTGTAGTTTTATGTGAATTAATTAGGCGTGAAAAGACACTTGTTTTTTTTTCCCGCCAAAATATTGTTGTTCGCCGCCATTTTGAATTGTGTTACAATCGTTTGCCTGCCAAGGTAGTCATATTGTTTACAATTCTCAGCTACGTATGTATAACATATTCTTATGTTCTTAAATATTACTAGCTTTGGCGTAACAGTGAGTTGCGTATACTAAAATTATTGTATACTTTTTCAACTCGTTAAAAATATGGTTGCCGATAGATTAATATCAAATCTACGGCTTTCTTCCAGTCCCGCTTCATCAACAATTCTTTTATTGCGTACCTATGTTTATGCGATTAAATAGTTTTTTGTTGGTATTTTTGGTTTTACATTGAGTTGCGTATATGAACTATTGTATACTCTTGCAACTCGTAGTTTTTGCCGATAGATTATTGTTCAATTCTATGGCATTCTTCCAGTACCGCCTCATCAACAATGGCGTAATTGTGTTTAATTTAAACATATTTTATTGACATATATGGTCAACGGGATTGGGCAAAAGTTATCCAACTTAGGTGGCCCTTTCCCTACTCTATATGTACAGACATTGAATATACATACATATATATATGTAATTGTGTAACTTATGATTGAGCGTGGTATTAATTGTCGTGGGAAAAATCTTACAAAGATTATCATCCACGTTGTTTGGTTTGCGCGCAGATGTGCTCTCCAAACCCTAAATGAAAATATAAATACCCTTGGTTTACATTGGGTTGCGCATACAAAAATATTGTATATCCTTGCAACTCATAAATTTGCCGATAGATTAGTGTTCAAATTCTTCGGCACTCTTCCAGTATTATCTCATCAACAAGGGTTTCATTGCGTAACATACCTTTGAGCATTTTACTAATTGTCGTGGAAAAAACCTTACAAGATTATCATCCACGATTGGTTGGTTTGCGCGCGGATGTGCTCTCCAATCTCTAAATGTAAATAGCCTTGGTTTACATTGAATTGCGTATATAAAAATATTGTATACCCTTGCAATTCGTATTTTTGCCGATAGATTACTGTTCAATTCTACGGCATTCTTCCAGTACCATTTCTTCAATGGTTTAATTGCGTAACATAATTATGTTTGCTCGGTGTACATATTGTCGTGGAATAATCGCCCAAAGCTCTTTATCCACGGTCATAGGCATGCACGTAGATGTGCTCGCCAAAATTCAAAATGTAATTTTTATGTAAATCTCTAATCCAACGAGTTTACTATATAAAAGCAGATTACTCACAATCATATTTTGCAGTTATTCCGTCGTGAGACGAGAGGAATGTCACTATCGCAGAATAGCGAATGACATATGGTTCTGTCATTACCACCCAACCGTTATTATCGGCAGGTATTATGACGACTGTGATTGCAGAAGTACACCATCCACCGAAATCAACAATACCGGAGGATTTTGTGAGTATCGTAACTGCTCCTATTTTTTCAGCCGCCGGACACTTCCAGATACATGTATGATAATCTGTGACGTCGGCGACAGCACCAGCGTATCGAGATGCTATGATGGGGGTAGATTAGACACAAGCCTTGATCCAGTCAATACTTTTGAGCTTTGTGTCTGATTTATCTGCGCCGAGCGCAGCACTTGACTACAACCAAAGCACTTCTATTACGCAAGCGGCGCACGATCAGCTTAGCGCTGTTCCAACATATCCAGCATAGACCTGCGCCGAGCGCAGCGTCTGACTGATACCCAAGCGCTCCTATCACGCCAGTGACGCAGGATCAGCTTAGCGCTGTTCCAACATATCCAGCATAGACCTGCGCCGAGCGCAGCGTCTGACTGATACCCAAGCGCTCCTATCACGCCAGTGACGCACGATCAGCTTAGCGCTGTTCCAACATTCCAGACCTGCGCTGAGCGCAGCGTCTGCGTATCAATCAAGGTCTCTACAATGACGTTAGCCCAAGGCTTACAGTGTACTCGGTTACGTAACCGGCACATGATCAGCTTAGCACATGTACCCGATTGGGAAGCAGACCATCTCGTGTCAGTAACGCCCTCCCCTGATAACAGGGTAAATAAGAGGGACACCACGAGGTCATTGGAGGAAGCCTTCTCCAAAACTCACATTTGCTCCGTGATTTAAGCGACCAATATCGTCAATGTTTGCAGTGGATCAGAATCTATTAGAGGATAACCCTATCTGATTAGATCACTTCCAAACTATGGTGTTTTTCCTACAGCGTCAGTTTGACCACAGGAAAATTCATCTTGAGACCGTTCTGACGGTGATTACCGTTACACACAAGACTTTATAGCGTTTCCAACTGAGATGCTGGTTTCAAGGGCAGTCTATTACGTCAACCTTGATCATCTACTCCCCTGTTCAACGAACAGATCGCAGACACGCACGTCAAGTTCCCAAAAAGCTTGGAAAGTCCAAGTCAGGGAATTATAAGCCTAGACGCGCATTTCTCAGGGAAGACCAGCATTCCCTTACTGAGAAAGGGAGTGGCAGAGACAAGTCTCAAGGACGATTTCGTACTTATCGCACTATATCATGGTGTCCGTATAAGGGTAGAGTTAACCCCACCGTTGACCACAGTTTGATTGGGAAAATCCAACATAGACATACTGTTGGTAAGAAGAGCTGTAGAGTGGGTTCACAACCCAGTCTTTACTCCGGGGTTTTATCCTCACACCTACCTGGTACTCATGAAGGACCCAGACAAGATGAGAATGATCCACAATCTCTGTGTTCAACGAACGTTTGATTCTTCATCAGTCTCGACTATCCATCCCAACCGTAGACTTTTCAGGTCCAGTTCATTGGGGTTCACTACCAATGGTAGTATTTCACATTTGACATGTCAGTGACACTTATGGCTATTTACAGGAGTAATGAAGCCAATAACTATCTACACGTGACGAACACTTGGTTCGAGTCGTAGATGGAGGGCGATCTACTGTATCATCAACACATGTCAATAACTGGGATAGACAATCAACGAGGCGAAGTCGGGAGTATTCTCCTTCCTATTGACTTCAGTTCATAGGAGACCTGGTTAAGACAGACCAGGATATCCTATCTGTACCGAGGGACAGATGGCACAAGTTTCTACTTCTTTTGTCATCTACTCTACACCAACCACACACACTTCGCCAGTGGCAAGTGTTGCTAGGGTTAATCACCTCGGCACAGGAGTTAACTAGCATGGGCCGCTTACAACAGCGACCAATTCAATTTTTTTCCTGAACCCTTACATCAGGAGTCAGGATCCACTCAAGGCCATCACTCTACCAACTAAGCTAGAGCCTCAATTTGTGGCGCTGAATGTCTGCGGAGTCTGTTTATTCGGATTTTCCCCGAATACACACCTGTTTGTGGACGTCCCCTTTCAGGGGTGGAGTCTTCACTTACAAGACCAGATAAGCTCAGGGCTATGGCCCGGCGCACAATGGAAGTGGCACATAAACAACTTGGAGTTGGAAGCTTTAATTCTGGCTATATCACATTGGCAGAATCAACTACAGTTAGCCCGACTCGCTATATCCACAGACAACAGCACTGCGGGCGGTGTGGTGCCTGTGCAATCGGGGAACAACACACTCCCACTCTCCACTTCTAAGGACATTCAGATTTCTTCCATCTAGTGGATCGGCTGTGACTAAGGTTCATAGTTCAGCACATCCCCGGATGTAGAAACATACTGGCCGATACTTTATCACGTCCAGACAGGGTGGCTCCCACTGAGTGGAAATTTCTCACAGAAGCATTCCAGTTACTGCTTCAGGAATTCAGGCAACCAAACATTGACTTGTTTATTACTTGCCTAGGCCACCAACTCATGACGTATATCTCCCCGTTGCCGGATCCGCAGACTTGGGCGGTGGACGAGTTCAGTATCACTTGGGAAGGGCAAAGAACTAAAACTCTTCTGCCACCACTATAACTTCCCAAGGTGCTACAGGGGATCAAGGAGACAAGGTATCTCGATCTCTCCTTTGGTCGCACCATGGTAACCGGCGAGAGGGTAGTTCGTCAAGCTCGGAAAAATCTAAAACGATTCACTTCCCCTCTCACAGTGGTCCAACCTACTCATCCACCCTCAACAGAAAATTGCCTCACCCAACGTCTGCACGCATGGTTCGTCTTTAAAAGGCGTTTAAGTGCGAAGGGTTATTTCGACACGGGCAGCAAAGCTATAGCTTTAGTTCATCGTTACTCTCCCAGAGACGACGATGACAAGTGGGGATCACTTGAGACTTTTTACAGGGAAGAAAAGAATCAAGACCCTACGATTGCGTCACAATTCCTAGAGGAATACCTCCTACATTGCGTACCCAAAAACACTTGGAAGGTAGCACCATTACTACGTAATTGGCTGCAATTATCTTAGTGTTGGCCGTTTCCGGAAAATCACAGTGTGATTAAGGTCAGGGAACTACAGGCCATATTATGCTCATTCAGGTTTGAGGATCAGAAGGCCAAGTTCCAGCCACCTGATTGGGACTTGAACGTGGTACTTCGAGGTTTGCGAGGGCCCCCTTCGAGCCCCTCATTGCATCCTCATTTTCAAGCTCCTTCCCAGCGCGTGACACCTTCGTTACACTCTCGGTATAGTATAGAGAGCTCCGCGAACGGGCTATCGCTGTGAGGAGCTTGGACATCACCAAGGAAACAATGGTTTCTCTTGGCATTAGCAATGGCGGTACGGGTGAGCGAACTACATGTGGTCGACTCAACCCGGATCCGTTTTGAGCATGGGACGCACGGAACAGGACATCTAGGGTTATGCTGGGATTTTATTGCTAAAATCTACTACCAGGCCAACCCGACCGTTCTTCACCATCCCACCGATATCGACTATTGTGGGAATCGTACATGGTGAAGTTCTCCTGGGCTCGGTGCGAGCAGTTCGAGTTTTCATTCGACGCTCCAAGACAAGGCGTGGTTCGTCCACGACAGAAGTTAGTCGCATAATCGCAAACACCATATCTATATGGTGACGCGCAGTAATCCTTCAGGCCTACGAGATCATCAAACGGAACTCGCCGAGAGCGAATTACCCTCAAGATCTCAAGGTGTCAGCCTTACCAGGGCTCAACACGGCAATTGTGGTTTTGGAACAATCACGGAAGGATATTTCTGGAGATTCGACACATATTTTCGTTAGTCATAACCTTCGCGTTGTGACTCTCGAGGATGTCAAAGACGTTCGAAGTTTGGCCCTCTGGTTGTTATCCTGCAGATTGCCAACCACTGACGCAAATAATGAACTCGCCCTATACAGAGCCAGTCAACTTCCATGTGCAGTCACTCAGTCGCCACCAGTGGAAGAATATTAGACAATCTTGTTTGTCAGCGACGGCTCTATGACGCAGTAAGTAAAGAATTAGCTGAATAGCTATTATTTTCTTTATTACTAAGCGTGTATAGGGAATTTCTCTTTAATTCCTATGTTCAATGTTTTTGATTTTTGAACAACCCTACCGTAATGGCGTTTTTGTCTGAACTGTTCCGCTTCACGGTTTATCGACCAAATGGGGTCGTATTGCAGGGTGTGAATTATTGAGGTTTCTGTATTCTGAAGGTTGACCCACCTCCAAACCGTCCGATACAGATGCATTAAGGAGTAATGCAGGATAAGTAAAAAATTTAGTAAAATCTAAATATTTTTTACATTTGTATACTTATCCTGCATTACTACGCTTAAGGCCCACCCGTCGTTAGACTTGCCTCCCCACTTTGGCTTCAGAAACCTCAAAAGTATGTTTTTCTAAGAGCTTGGGCGACAGGCAGTGATGTGAAGATGACCTTAGGTGTCATCAAGGTCACAGGACAGCGACGGAAGGCCACTGATTGGGACTTGAGAACAACAACTTTATTTCTTCACCCAGGACCTTCGCAGCGCTGTCCTTCTAGTTGTCGTAAGTAAGCAGTGAATGCATTAAGGAGTAATGCAGGATAAGTATACAAATGTAAAAAATATTTAGATTTTACTAATTTTATAATTATAGGTTTTTAACCTGTGTTCATTACGACCAAGAATAAGTCTCCTGTGACCAAATGGATCGGGTGGTCAGGCTCGGTGGCTTGTTTGATTGTGTGTCATAATACCCCAACAGCATGGATCATTGCTGACAAGCAGTCGTTCTCACAATATTTGGTCATCTTAAGACTAACCATTTATTCCATCCTTTTTCCTTTGCTCCCTGGCACTTAGATTACAAGACCAAATCTTGCTAGTTTAACTCTACACATCAATAAATTTGACTATCCCCAAGAGAAACAGAATCAATAATCTTTGACCTCATAAATCTACACCTTGCAGTGCAGTCACCCCTCTTATCCCTATTTTATGTTTTAACCTAGACCTATGTAGAAGTTTATTTTTCAGCCATTCACCAAAATACCCTGGTTATAGTGCCCTGATCGTTAGGGATGTTGCTCATATCAGTCACTGGTTTGTCTGGACTAGACTTGATTATTAACAGGTGTGGCATTTAAACAACAGACAAATATCTTTACAGGTTTGCCATGATATAGATTGTTTATTCTGTGTTCCATGGGCTTGCCAGAAACCTAACATTCACTCACTCACTCACTCACTCACTCACTCACTCTCACTCTCACTCTCACTCTCACTCTCACTCTCTCTCTCTCTCTCTCTCACTCACTCACTCACTCCTGTGAAGCAACATTCACTCACTCACTCACTCACTCACTCCTGTGAAGCAACACTCACTCACTCCTGTGAAGCAACACTCACTCACTCACTCACTCACTCACTCACTCACTCACTCTCACTCTCACTCTCACTCTCACTCTCTCTCTCTCTCTCTCACTCACTCACTCACTCACTCACTCACTCCTGTGAAGCAACATTCACTCACTCACTCACTCACTCACTCCTGTGAAGCAACACTCACTCACTCCTGTGAAGCAACATTCACTCACTCACTCACTCCTGTGAAGCAACACTCACTCACTCACTCACTCACTCACTCACTCACTCACTCACTCACTCACTCACTCACTCACTCACTCACTCACTCACTCACTCACTCTCACTCACTCACTCACTCACTCACTCACTCACTCACTCATCCCAACAGGTGCAGTGAAGATAACTCCAGGGCATGACCACACAGACTTCCAGGTCGGCGAGAGGCATGACCTGGACAAACCGACTATCTTCACTGATGACGGTCACATGGTGAATGTCACAGAGCCATTCAATGGCATGAGGAGATTTGTTGCTCGACATTATCTCGCCAAGTTCCTCAAGGAGAAGAATCTGTTCCGTGGGGAGGAAGAACACAACATGACTGTGCCCGTGTGTAGGTGCGTTCTTCTCTCATAAACCTGGTCCACTCACCTGCTCCTGACAATAACAACATTGGGATTCAATGTCAGAATCAGTTCCCAGCCCCATACATTTGTCTACCTGTGTTGATTCAATGTCAGCATAAGTCAATCATTGGGGATTGTGAATGAGAACATGTCCTCCATGCACCTTGCTTGGGTCTCTCCCTGGGATTCTAGGGCAATATAGGTCCACTGTATCCCATCCTTGTCTTTCCTTGGGATTCAAGGGCAATATAGGTCCACTGTATCCCATGTTTATCTCTCCTTGGGATTCCAGGGCAATATAGGTCAAATGTTTCCCATGCTTATCTCTCTGGTTAAAGCGTTTGTTCGTCATGTTGAGGACCTGGGTTCGATTCCCGACATGGGTACAAAGTGTGAAGCCCTTTTCTGGTGTCCCCCGCCATGATATTGCTGGAATATTGCTAAAAGCGGTGTAAAACCATACTCACTCACTCACTCTCCCTGAGTGTGCATCAGCATTCCCCAAAGGTGTGGATTTTTTGCTCATGCTGTCAACCTCTGGATTGTCTTAGGCAGACTTAATATGTACATTTACAGGTCGCTGTGATGTACATGTATTATGTATATGTGACTGCAGCATTAAGTAAAGTCACTTACGCATTTACTTTTTTTATATTTTTTATATTGTGTCCAGTCGGTCCAAAGACATCGTTGAGCCGAGGCTGAAAGAGCAGTGGTACGTTGACTGTCACCAGATGGCCAAGATGGCTGCTGAGGTGAGCTCAGGATATATGACCTCAGTTTGAATCCAATAAAGATAAGATGTCCTATTTTTACTAGAACAGATACTGTCAATTATGAAATTAAGGACATTCTTTACATATTGACATAAGTCTGAAGTACTGCCTCTGTACCCAGGTTGTACAGAGCGGTCAGCTGAAGCTGATCCCACGGAGCCATGAGAAGGTCTGGCTGGACTGGCTGCGCGGCATCAGGTAATCCAGACTTGACAATCCCCAGCACCCCCAGGCATTGCTGGTTGGGACCCAAGCACCCAGGGACATTACTGATAAGGTCCCCTGTACCCCCAGACATTACGGGTTAGGTCCCCAGCACCACCGGACATTACGGGTTAGGTCCCCAGCACCACCGTACATTACGGGTTAGGTCCCCAGCACCACCGGACATTACGGGTTAGGTCCCCAGCACCACCGGACATTACGGGTTAGGTCCCCACAGCCCGTGCATTACTAGTTAGGTCCCCAGCACCCCCGTGCATTACTAGTTAGGTCCCCAGCACCACCGGACATTACGGGTTAGGTCCCCAGCACCACCGTACATTACGGGTTAGGTCCCCACAGCCCGTGCATTACTAGTTAGGTCCCCAGCACCCTACGGATATTCCCAGTTGTCCCCAGCACCCTGGGAATATTTATGATTAGGTCTTCAGTTCCCTGTGGATATTCCTGGTTAGATCCCCAGCACCCTATGGATATTCCTGGTTTGATCCCCAGCATCCTGTGGATATTCCTGGTTAGATCCCCAGCACCCTATGGATATTCCTGTTTAGATCCCCAGCACCCTCTGGATATTCCTGGTTATATCCCCAGCATCCTGTGGATATTCCTGGTTAGATCCCCAGCACCCTATGGATATTCCTGGTTTGATCCCCAGCATCCTGTGGATATTCCTGGTTAGATCCCCAGCACCCTATGGATATTCCTGTTTAGATCCCCAGCACCCTCTGGATATTCCTGGTTAGATCCCCAGCATCCTGTGGATATTCCTGGTTAGATCCCCAGCACCCTCTGGATATTCCTGGTTAGATCCCCAGCACCCTATGGATATTCATGGTTAGGTTCCCAGCACCTTCTGGATATTCCTGGTTAGATCCCCAACACCCTCTGGATATTCCTGGTTAGATCCCCAGCACCCTCTGGATATTCCTGGTTAGATCCCCAGCACCTTCTGGATATTCCTGGTTAGATCCCCAGCATCCTGTGGATATTCCTGGTTAGATCCCCAGCACCTCTGGATATTCCTGGTTAGATCCCCAGCACCCTCTGGATATTCCTGGTTAGATCCCCAGCACCCTATGGATATTCCTGGTTAGATCCCAAGCACCCTCTGGATATTCCTGGTTAGATCCCCAGCACCTTCTGGATATTCATGGTTAGATCCCCAGCATCCTGTGTATATTCCTTGTTAGATCCCCAGCACCCTCTGGATATTCCTGGTTAGATCCCCAGCACCTTCTGGATATTCCTGGTTAGATCCCCAGCGTCCTGTGTATATTCCTTGTTAGATCCCCAGCACCCTCTGGATATTCCTGGTTAGATCCCCAGCACCTTCTGGATATTCCTGGTTAGATCCCCAGCATCCTGTGTATATTCCTTGTTAGATCCCCAGCACCCTCTGGATATACCGGTGTAAAGTCTGAAAAAATACCCCCCCTTCAAAGTATACCTGGGTAGATTCTGGGGCCTTCCAGAATCTACCCCGGGGTAGATTTTGGGAGCTCCCAGAATCTACCCCTCTTTCCCAGAATCTACCCTGGGGGGTATACTCTGGGAGTTCCCAGAATCTTCCACCGGGGTATAATCTGGGAGCTCCCAGAATCTACCCCTGGTTATAACTATAATCTAGGAGCTCCAAAAATCTACTGCAGCCCTGTTTGATTCAAACATTTTTATTTCATGAATGTACTTGAAGTTTTCTTTTGGGGGATGCATCTAATTCAGCCTTGATCTCTCCTGGTCAATTGCTGTAAAAACATTGTCATCTGATTAAGTTTATATAAATGCCCATTCAATACACATCTAATTAGTTTTAAAACATGCATTTCCTGTTATTTATATTAAGAAGACAAAGGTGGGAGCACCAGTTTTTCCAAACAGTATACATTATAATTAAAGAAATCTCAAGTGTGAGATGATAATGTACATGATTGTACAGATGCGTATCCTGATAAGTCTGCAGATTCTGTGGCTGACTTCCTGTACAAGACCGTGTGCAGACTTGGCTGCTTTGGCATTTTGATCTTAAATTCTTAAATTCGTCAAGAATGGCCGAAAATGGTGTCTGGGCAGCGGATGTAGAGATTATGGCCACTGCTTCGCTTCTGCAAACTGACATTGTTGTCTATATGCATTATGGAAATGCTATGCTACCCAGCATCATTCACACTTGAGAAACTGTCCATTGGTGCAGTGTATCTGACCAACCTCCATGAACACTTTGACGTTGTAATAAATGTCCAGTGACATTGAAATAATTCAAGGAATCAATGGATATTGGTTTTCAGAATAAATTGCTCGCATATTTTATGTTAGTTTTCTCTATTTGTTATTATAATATTTGTAATATAAAAACTCTGACTAAGACAATGACAATTGCTTCGTGAAATTTATTACACCCATCTGACTACTATATTGAGAAGAGTAAGAATGTAAATGGACAAATAATTAGATGGTTTTAATGATGTGATGTCTTCTATAGTCAGAATATATTCTTGATACTGTGATACATGCCTCCCCAAACAAGTGCATACTTATAATTGGTTTCAAAATGATTTTATATGCAATCAAAAGTAGGTAGGTCTATTCACAAAGCATGTTAAAGCTTATTCAATAACATAAGTGTAAGACGTTTCCTCACACAATTCTCAACACCAGCTTTCGAACTTACAAATTGATGATGACTACAATGAGTTAAAGTCAATGTGACTTGTAAGATATTTTTTTATTAGTTTAAACAATATTTATTTCTTCTTTGCATGTATAAAACAACATTTTGAATTTTTGTATTCGATAACAATTTATTACTGGTATTATCTACACCAGGATAGATTTTGGGAACTCCCAGATTATACCCCCTGGGGGTAGATTTTGGGATATGAATGTTTTAAAACTAATTAGATGTGTACTGAATAGGCATTTATGTAAACTTAATCAGATGACAATGTTTTTACAGCAATTGACCAGGAGAGATCAAGACTGAGTTAGATGCATCCCCCAATAAAATGAAATAAAAATGCTTAAATCAAACAGGGCTGCAGTAGATTCTTGGAGCTCCTAGATTATAGCTATAACCCGGGGTAGATTCTGGGAGGAGCTCCCAGATTATACCCCAGGGTAGATTCTGGGAACTTCCAGATTATACCCCCTGGGGATAGATTCTGGGAAAGGGGGGTAGATTCTGGGAAGTCTCCAAAATCTACCCTGGGGTAGATTCTGGGAACTCCCAGAATCTACCTAGGTACACTCTGAAGGGGGGTAGATTTTGGCACCTTACACCGGGTTAGATCCCCAGCATCCTGTGGACATTCCTTGTTAGATCCCCAGCACGCTCTGTATATTCCTGGTTAGATCCCCAGCACCCTCTGGATATTCCTGGTAAGATCCCCAACACCCTCTGGATATTCCTGGTAAGATCCCCAGCACCTTCTGGATATTCCTGGTTAGATCCCCAGCATCCTGTGTATATTCCTTGTTAGATCCCCAGCACCCTATGGATATTCCTGGTTAGATCCCCAATACCCTCTGGATATTCCTGGTTAGATCCCCAGCACCCTCTGGATATACCGGTGTAAAGTCTGAAAGAATACCCCCCCTTCAAAGTATACCCGGGTAGATTCTGGGGCCTTCCAGAATCTACCCCGGGGTAGATTTTGGGAGCTCCCAGAATCTACCCCCCTTTCCCAGAATCTACCCCCGGGGGTATACTCTGGGAGTTCCCAGAATCTAGAAGTCTGCAGATTCTGTGGCTGACTTCCTGTACAAGACTGTGTGCAGACTTGGCTGCTTTGGCATTTTGATCTTAAATTCTTGAATTCGTCAAGAATGGCCGAAAATGGTGTCTGGGCAGCGGATGCAGAGATTATGGCCACTGCTTTGCTTCTGCAAACGGACATTGTTGTCTATACGCATTATGGAAATGCTATGCTACCCAGCATCATTCACACTTGAGAAACTGTCCATTGGTGCAGTGTATCTGACCAACCTCCATGAACACTCTGATGTTATAATAAATGTCCAGTGACATTGAAATAATTCAAGGAATCAATGGATATTGGTTTTCAGAATAAATTGCTCGCATATTTTATGTTAGTTTTCTCTATTTGTTATTGATAATAATATAAAAACTCTGACTAAGACAATGACAATTGCTTCGTGAAATTTATTACACCCATCTGACTACTATATTGAGAAGAGTAAGAATGTAAATGGACAAATAATTAGATGGTTTTAATGATGTGATGTCTTCTATAGTCAGAATATATTCTTGATACTGTGATACATGCCTCCCCAAACAAGTGCATACTTATAATTGGTTTCAAAATGATTTTATATGCAATCAAAAGTAGGTAGGTCTATTCACAAAGCATGTTAAAGCTTATTCAATAACATAAGTGTAAGACGTTTCCTCACACAATTCTCAACACCAGCTTTCGAACTTACAAATTGATGATGACGACAATGAGTTAAAGTCAATGTGTTTTGTAAGATATTTTTTTATTAGTTTAAACAATATTTATTTCTTCTTTGCATGTATAAAACAACATTTTGAATTTTTGTATTCGATAACAATTTATTACTGGTATTATCTACACCAGGATAGATTTTGGGAACTCCCAGATTATACCCCCTGGGGGTAGATTCTGGGATATGAATGTTTTAAAACTAATTAGATGTGTACTGAATAGGCATTTATGTAAACTTAATCAGATGACAATGTTTTTACAGCAATTGACCAGGAGAGATCAAGGCTGAGTTAGATGCATCCCCCAATAAAATGAAATAAAAATGCTTAAATCAAACAGGGCTGCAGTAGATTCTTGGAGCTCCTAGATTATAGCTATAACCCGGGGTAGATTCTGGGAGGAGCTCCCAGATTATACCCCGGGGTAGATTCTGGGAACTCCCAGATTATACCCCCTGGGGATAGATTCTGGGAAAGGGGGGTAGATTCTGGGAGCATGCCAGAAACCTATGATTGTAGGTTCGAATCCCAGTATGCCCCGATTATGTTCAAGGTTTGTCAGCACCATACCCATGCTCGTGGGTTTCACCGAAGTGGTAAACGTCTGAGACCTGCATCACTTCAGGCTTTCCTCTCACATTAAGCTGACACGCGGCGATTTAACTGGAATACTGTTACAAGCGGCGTTAAACCCAACTCACTCACTGGATTGAAGTCTATATGTGAGGTCTCTCTGTATAAAGTGTAATATCCATTAATAAAAACAGACAAAATAAAGTAAGTTATATCGTTGACCTGCCACTCGAGGTCAAGGCTACAAGGTAACTGATATCTCCTCCCCAGGGACTGGTGTGTATCGAGGCAGCTGTGGTGGGGGCACCGGATTCCCGCCTACCAAGTGACACACCAGGTGAGCTACAGGGGGAAGGATTAGCAACAAAACATTCTGTGTGATGGCACCTGTTCCTGTGTACAGCGCACAGGTCACAAGTCAGGCACAGTGGGATGGGGGACTGTGTTCGGCAGCTTGGCTCCTGAGAGTTTTTAGGGCTTCGATCCTGCCCCACACTGAAACACATGTTATATATGTTGTCTCCTTAGGCAAGTGAATTATGTTTGAAGTATGCTGCTGTTCACCCAGCAGTAAATGGGTACCTAGTGGGATAAGGTTGTAATGTGTCTGTTAACCTTGTAGCACTTCACAGGCAGCAGCATGTATACTCCCCAGGGAGCTGAGAATGAAAAATTGAGCACCCACTGATCCATTGACTGGGGTGATAATACTGCAGAGCTCTGAGCAGCATTGTGTATGGAATTATTATTATAAGAAATATATTATAATGGGTAGGTTTGTCACCAGCATAAAGCCAATGGATAAAAATGGTATCCCTCAGGGTCATTTATGGATGAATATGTAAATGAAAAAGGTCAGGCTCGTGTTGTCCTTGTCTGTGGTCCTTCAAGTCATTAGGAGAAGACTCGTGAAGATCCGGGGTAGAATAGGTCTTCAGCAACCCATGCTTGCCGTGAAAGGTGACTATGCTTGTCGTAAGAGGCGACTAACAGGATCGGGTGGTCAGGCTCGCTGACTTGGTTGATGCATGTCATTGTGTCCTAATTGCGTGGATCGATGCTCATAATGTCAATCACTTGATTGTCTGGTCCAGATTATTTACAGACTGCCGTCATATAGCTGGAATATTGCTGAGTGCGGCGTTAAACAACAAACAAACAAAACAAATCATTAGGAGAAAACATGGTGAACATCGTTCTTGAGCAGAAACCCTCTACACCAAAATGCCGTCATTTGGCAATAATTTATTCAGAAAAGATCCAGGAAACCCTTGACTGATGGTCCATTCTTATGTGCAGTGATTTGAATCAAAACAAACCTTGGTAGTAGCTGCCTTTTGTCTTCTGGACTGCCTCCATTGTCGAGTGGTAGAGCGTCCGCCCGGAGAGCGGAAGGTCTGGGGTTCGATCCCCGGCCGCGTCATACCAAAAGACGTTAAAAGATGGTACTTGTTGGTACCCTGTCTGGCGCTCGGCAGTAAGGGGCTAAAACAAGGACCGGTCGGCTCGGAGTCAGTATGCTGTGTCTGAGTGGGGTATTCATGTTAAACTGCGGCATGGTATCTCAGTGGGCTAGCTCTATAAATCGTCATCAGTCCGGACTAGTACAAGCAGCCACACACACACACACATGCATGTACGTCGCTATATAAGTGCAATAATCTTGGACGCTACGTTAAAACCAATTTCACCTCACCTCACCTTTTGTCTTCTGACTAATTACTGACCTTGTAATGTAATATATTAATGCACACATGATGGGAATGATGGGAATGCTTTTCGGCAATAGATTTAAAGAACTACAATATTTTATAAAGAGGTTGGCAGGGATGTGTTTTAGGATGGTAAATATCCAAATACTCAAGTACAATGTTTATTCCTATTACAGGACATTTATTATTACAAAAAACCTTGCAGAAAAAAATATATTATAAGTTGTAGCAGGATCAAGAGGGGTACATGGGGTTTTATGCTCGTGGTAGAAAACTTAACGAGGGACGCATAAAATCCCATGTACCGTGAGTGATCCTGCTATGACAAACTTACCTTACAACATGTTTTAATGCGATGTTGTAAAAGAATTAACACAAATTCAAAATTGATAGAAAACAGCTGTTTGAATGAGTTGAAAATTACTTGTGCTATGTCACATGACTTTCATTGACTTGGAAAAAGCTTGCTGAGAAATTTGTTTTCCTCCAAGGTGGTGTACATAGTATTTTATCAAGATCACGTGGACCAATCAGATCATATTATTCTGACATGGAGGTATGATAAACTAAGTTAATTTATCCCTCAAAATGTATGTTTATGAACAAGACAATTGGACACGAAATAGGTAAAATTGCAAGAAAAGTTCAACAATGAGATATACGTAACTTTAGTTCATATGATAACATATTTACATAACAATGAAAAACAAAAAAACTCATCGGAAATGGTATTGTTCACAAACAATCAATAAAGAAAGAAATATGCAATGTTTCTCTGAAAGTAACAAGGTCTTCCTTTGTTGTTACACTGTGATGGAAATTAGATTGTAAACAGTGTTTACACAACTCACTGTTTGTTTTCCCAGGGGGAGACTTTGTGGGTGAGCGGACGAACGGAGGATGAGGCGAGAAGGAAAGCAGCCAAGAAGCTGGCGGTGACAGAAGGGGAGATAACTCTGCAACAAGGTGTTTAGTGTGAAGAAAATATTTTACTGATGTTTAGTATCTTCTCAGAAAGCAAAGAGATGAGAGAGTTGATGTTTAGGTTGTTTATGTAGCACTACAATGAAGGTGATTAAACTAATGTTTAATTGAAAATAAAAAAACCAATGAATATCAGAGTAATCAAGCTTAGAATTGTAACTTTATGTATAAGTATATGTGTATATTTTTATTAATTTACTCTCAACTTTCTGTTATATACAAGTACATATGCTTTGTTGTACATTGAGCATGTCTCTATGTGATGTGGAATTGTACGCTATAGAAATAGCCTTGTTGTTGTTGTAGCATTGTTGTTGTTGTTGTAGTAGTCGTTGTTGTTGTTGGTGGTGGTGGTGTTCTTCTTCTTCTTCTTCTTCTTCTTCTTCTTCTTCTTCTTCTTCTTCTCTAAAGAACCCTGCATATTGATGCTCCTTGATCTGGTTGTTTCAGATGAGGATGTCCTAGACACCTGGTTCTCCTCCGCAATCTTCCCCTTCTCCGTACACGGCTGGCCTCGGCAGGTGAGGTCAGGGGCCAAGGGCATTCATAGCTTTGACATCATTCAGCTAGGGGCATATCAACGGCATTCATAGCTTTGACATCATTCAGCGAGGGGCATATCAACGGCATTCATAGCTTTGACATCATCCAGCGAGGGGCATATCAACGGCATTCATAGCTTTGACATCATTCAGCTAGGGGCAACTATCAACGGCATTCATAGCTTTGACATCATTCAGCTAGGGGCATATCAACAGCATTCATAGCTTTGACATCATTCAGCTAGGGGCAACTATCAACGGCATTCATAGCTTTGACATCATTCAGCTAGGGGCAACTATCAACGGCATTCATAGCTTTGACATCATCCAGCTAGGGGCATATCAACGGCATTCATAGCTTTGACATCATTCAGCTAGGGGCAACTATCAACGGCATTCATAGCTTTGACATCATTCAGCTAGGGGCAACTATCAACGGCATTCATAGCTTTGACATCATCCAGCTTGGGGCATATCAACGGCATTCATAGCTTTGACATCATTCAGCTAGGGGCAACTATCAATAGCATTCATAGCTTTGACATCATTCAGCTAGGGGCATATCAACGGCATTCATAGCTTTGACATCATCCAGCTAGGGGCAACTATCAACAGCATTCATAGCTTTGACATCATTCAGCTAGGGGCAACTATCAACGGCATTCATAGCTTTGACATCATCCAGCTAGGGGCAACTATCAACGGCATTCATAGCTTTGACATCATTCAGCTAGGGGCAACTATCAACGGCATTCATAGCTTTGACATCATTCAGCTAGGGGCAACTATCAACGGCATTCATAGCTTTGACATTATTCTGCTAGGGGCAACTATCAACGGCATTCATAGCTTTGACATCATTCAGCTAGGGGCAACTATCAACGGCATTCATAGCTTTGACATCATTCAGCTAGGGGAAACTATCAACAGCATTCATAGCTGACTTGACATCGTCCAGACTAAGGGCAACTATCAACGGCATTCAGAGCTCATCTTGAAATCCTCAATGTGACCTTAAGTTGTGTGTCTATATCCATTGGGATTTCCATGGAAATGTCATGAAACTTTCTTGACATTTTTGTCTCTGAACCTTGTCTACATCTAAAGGAGAGTATCAGATACTAATAATTAGACAGTGACACTAGTCTGTTCCCTTGTGGGAGTTCTCAGTTACATAAGGTCTTCAGCAACCTTTGCGTGTCGTACAAGGTGACTTAAGTTGGATGGTCAGACTCGGTGACTTGCCCATCCTCATACCCCGACAATATGGGACGTTACGGATATACCAATCACTAGTTTGTCTGGTCCATACTCAACTATTTACACACCATTGTCAAGTAGCTGGCATTTGTGTGTGTCTTAAACAACAAACAAACATTCATGGGGAAGCACCTTGTCTGTGTCTGCTTCTGGCCTGGAGGTCCCCATGGCTGCCATATCCTGAATCTTTTGAAAACTATTGACTGCCACCGTGGTCTAATGGTAGAGTGTCCAACCAGAGAGCGAAAGGTCCGGGGTTCGATTCCCGCCCACATCATACCAAAAGACGTTAAAAGATGGTTCTTGTTGTAACCCTGTCAGGGGATCAAACGAGTATTGTCGGCTCGGAGTCAGTATGCTGTGTCTAAGTGGGATATGCATCTTAAACTGCTGCATGGTATCTTACTGGGCTAGCACCATAATATCGGCATTTGTCTGGACTAGTACAAGTAGCCACAAACACGCACACACACAATCACACACACATTGCTATGTAAGTACGATAATCTTGGTCGCGAGGTTAAACCCCATTTCACCTCACCTTGGAAGCTATTTTTCATTCCTCATCTTAATGTTTCAGAATCCTGACCTATCTCATTTCTATCCCACAAGTCTGATGGAAACAGGAAGTGACATCATATTTTTCTGGGTGGCACGGATGGTCATGATGGGACTCAAACTGACGAATCAGCTTCCTTTCCAAGAGGTAGGGACCTGTGAAGATCCAGGGTAAAATAGGTCTTCAGCTACCCATGCTTGCCTTGAAAGGCGACTATGCTGTTGTAAGAGGAGACTAAAGGGATCGGGTGGTCAGACTTGATGACTTGGTTTATGCATGTCATCATATTCCAATTGCATGGATCGATGCTCATAATGTCAGTCACTGGATTGTCTGGTCCAGGCTTGATTATTTACAGACCGCCGTCATATCTCTAGAATATTGCTGAGTGTGACGTTAAACAACAAACAAACAAACAAACCCAAGAGGTAGTGTATTTAACTGAATAATCATTTCCATTTTTAAGAGTATAGTTATGGGTGCCGAGTTGTGTCCTTTAGGAGTAACATGTATATTTGTTCAAGTGTATGTTTTTTCCTGTGTCTGGTATACTGCATTGTCTTCTTAGCAAGGGGCGGTCGGGTAGCCTGGTGGTTAAAGCGTTCGCTCGTCATGCCAAAGACCCAGGTTCGATTCCCGACATGGGTACAATGTGTGAAGCCCATTTCTGGTGTCCCCCGCCGTGATATTGCTGGAATATTGCTAAAAGCGGCGTAAAACCATATTCACTCACTCTTCTTAGCAACCACTGAACCAATGAAGCTGAACATGCTTGTTCCCAGTACTGATGACACCCAATTTGTTAACAATGACATCATATTTTGTTTAAATCATTAGGATTTTAATGTTGATTTTTGGTCCTCATTATTTGCAAAACATATTTGAATTTCAATGCTTCTGTTAAGTGGCTTTTCATATTGATATTTCAAACTACTGACTACATATCCAGGTGAGCTGCAGTATCATGGCACAATATTACCTGATTATGATCCTCTGCTTCCAGCACCATACCTGTGTTCGTGAGTCGCACCAAAAGTGGTAAACATCTAAGACCTGCATCACTTTGGTGTTCCTCTCAGCTTAAGCAGATTCTCCTTGACCTTGACTCATAATCACCTTGACCTTCACTCATGATGACCTTGACCTTGACTCATGATCACCTTGACCTTCACTCATGATCACCTTGACCTTGACTCATGATCACCTTGACCTTGACTCATGATCACCTTGACCTTGACCTTTCCTTGGTTTTACTGAAATAATCTTTAATGTGGAATTTAACCTCACTTCCTCAATTCACTGACATTGCACAACACAGAAACAATTCCATAGTAAATTTACCTGTTGAAGGTTCTTCTCCATGGTATCCTGCGAGACTCCCATGGTCGAAAGATGAGCAAGTCTCTGGGCAATGTGATAGACCCTATGGATGTTATACACGGAACCACATTACAGGTATGTCATCAGTCTTGTTGGTTGAAAACATCATGAATGTTTATCTGTCATATTTGTTTTTATACTTCACAGAGAATACAGGCTAGAAGTAACCTATGCTTGTCATTGGGTCGTCTGGTTCAGTGACTTGGTTGTTTGCATGGCATTGTCCTAAAACAGTACCTCATACCTCATTATGATGCCCCATTCTGCCACTGACCAATCAGAGAGCTGAACTACTCACCCCATTTGAGCCCCTATTCCCTCTGTAAATATCCAAGATGGTTGTTACTGACCTAATACGAGACCATATACTGTCAGTAACAGCCATTTTGGATTTTCCAACACTGAAATTTGTTATTCGACACTGTTTGGTGTTTTAATATCATTTATTTTTTATGTGCAAGGGCATTAATATTTTCTTTAGATCACATTCTTGACTTAATATCATCAACAAGGTTTGGCCTCTAAGGTTTGATGAGTAGTCTCCCTTTGACCCTTAATGTCAACAGTGACCTATGTCAAGAAAAACCTATAAAATATGAAAATCACAGAATCACAGTTCTCATCCATCAAGAAACCATGAACAGTAGGAAAGCTTTCCTCGACAAGTCACATGCTGATAAATGATTACATTGTACAGGGTCTCCATGACCAGTTGAAGAAAAGTAACCTTGACCCCTCAGAGGTCAAGAAGGCTTATGAAGGTCAACAGAAGGACTTTCCCCAGGGTATCCCCGAGTGTGGAGCTGATGCCCTCAGGTTCACGCTGTGCTCGTACTACTTCAAATGTAAGTACACGTGGCCTTGGAGTTTTAGTAGCCCCTTAAAAAGCCATGATTTTTAGTGTCAATCTTGGAAAGCTTCGAAAATCACCAAAATAACTTGAAGAGCCTTGAATTTGTGAAAGTATTAAGATTCATGACTGACTTAATTTATTTTATTTGCTTGTTTGGAAAATAAATGTGTTTTTAGGTCTTAGCACTTATATATCAAATATGATATAAAGTATGCTGGATTTAAAAAAATATTGACTGACTAAGGCTAATAACTAAAAAAGCCTTGAAATTGAAGCCTTGACAGTTGAAAGCCTTGAAATTGAAGCCTTGACAGTTGAAAGCCTTGAAACTGAAACCTTGACAGTTGAAAGCCTTGAAACTGAAGCCTTTGCAGTTGAAAGCCTTGAAAAGGCTTTGAATTTTAGTGTTCCATATCTGTGTAAACCTTGATGTCAGCATGTTCACATTGTCACACTCAGAGAAGAATTGAGAAAGAATCATCTATTTGCCAGTAGGGATTGACACTGTTGTAAGGAACTGGCCCTCTGTAATTCTAGCTAGCTGACTACTATATATAACTTGTGGGAATGAAGAGTATTGGTTTACCCACTGGACCACTGACTTCAGCACATACGCGGGGAGGTGCAGGGCCTGCATACTAAACATCAGTCCACTTGAAATCTCAGTGATCGGGAACACCAATAGTATGCGATATTGTGATTAACTCATTTGGGGATAAATTTTCATCAAATGAAACTATATCAACATGAAAACTGTACACAAACTGCCAAATAAAACAGTATCAACACATGTGGTAACAACTGGCCCTATACCATTTCTTTTGGCCATGGGCCACTGGGCCTGCAGATAAGTCAACCCTTCACATAGTGAATTGGATTGCATGGTCAGAATCTGTGACTTTGTTGATTGTATGTCATCATTGCTCATATAGTCACCCAATGGTCCAGACTCGATTATATACCCATATATATACTGTTGTGACTTAATGGATCAGCTGGTCAGGCTTGCTGACTTCGTTGATGGCATGGATTGTTGCTCATGACATCAATCACTGGATTGTCTGGTGGTTACTCCATTATTTAGACTGTGTCATGCAGATGTTAAACAACAAACACACATCACCAGCTGTGATGAAAATGTACATGATCATTCAGTTCCAAATGGAGAATAATAATAGCCACATATTATAAGTGAACTTCCGTGGGGTTTATTTTGGCAAAAGAAATTTAATATTGGCACAGATGATATATAGGTATTTTTACCAGTTTTGACTGTTGTATAACTCATTATTAAGAAAACCTGTGAAGATCCAGGGTAGAATAGGACTTCAGCAACCCATGCTTGCCGAAAAAGGCGACTCTACTTGTCGTAAGAGGCGACTAACGGGATTGGGTGTTCAGGCTCGCTGACTTGGTTGATGCATGTCATCGTATCCCAATTGCGTGGATCGATGCTCGTGATATCAATCACTGGATTGCCTGGTCCAGACTTGATTATTTACAGACAGCCGTCATATAGCAACAAACAATCAAACAATCATTATTAAGTCCACATATATTATTTTTCAGATTATGTTATTGTTGACAGCATAAAACAACATTCACTTATTCACCTATTTTACTGTATTGTACAGCTGGTGAAATCAACATGGACATCACACATGCCCGGAACTATCGACACTTCTGCAACAAAGTGTGGCAGGCATTCCGTTTTGTGCAGACCAACTTGGGTGCCGACTTTCGTCCAGGGGCTCGCTTTGGGGTACAGTATAGATCATGTTTGTCAGTTAGTCAAAAACATGTTTAATTAGGCATCTATTTCATTTCTTTGTCTCATTTTCAGTGCTGTAATATGTTCATGATATTGTCAATTTGCATAAAATATGTATGCAATGAAAAGCTGTGTATTGTTTTATTAAGTGCCTCCTTGTGTCAATTACCTGAGCACTTATTATGGTGAATATGGTAATGTAGGATACTCTGTTCTAAAAGGTACTATTTGACAAAGCCATGCCAACGACAACCCTATCAGTCTACATAAGTCAGTAACTGTGCTTGCTATCTACCCTGGTCACATGGGGGGCGGTCGGGCAGCCTAGTGGTTAAAGCGTTCACTTGTCATGCCAAAGACCCGGGTTCATGGGTACAATGTGTGAAGCCCATTTCTGGTGTCCCCCACCATGATATTGCTGGAATATTTCTAAAAGCTGCTTAAAACCATACTCACTCACTGGTCACATGGTTTATTTAACTGACAAGAGCTATTGTATTGTGGAATGTCATTTCAAATTTAATATCACACAACTTAATTTGTTCTTATTCAAGTACCATGCCATTCATCATGTTGTTTAAATACAAACATGCTTCTATGATTACTCCTGTTTTGTACTTCAGTTCAACGAAACCTTTTCTGCTGTTGACCAGTGGATTCTCAGTCGACTAAGTCACATGATCAAGTCATGTGATCTACACTTTGGCACTTATGATCTGCATCATGTGACAAGGGCACTTCACCAGTTCTGGCTGACGGAATTTAGCGATGTATATTTAGTAAGTATGAGATGCTCATTTTGTCACTGCAGGAATTTTGAAGTTTTAAGCACCATTATTTTTAAATAGGATAACATGGCTAATGCATCCATTATTTCATCAAAGTTTTGTTAGTAGTGCAATTTGACGCCAGCTCGCTAGCCCGAGATTAAGCATCAGAACGCTTTGCAGACCATTGTGATGTCATCGGTTACCATGACATCACGATGACATGAAATCACTTATCTCTCTGCCATTGAAGCTGGTTAGCTGTTCTTTATAAGCAAGACACTGGTTTTCATTGTAGCGATATTTGCAGGGAGAAATATATCGCTTGAATCTCGCCAAATCAATATTTTCTGAGGAAGCCATGTTTGCAAAGAAATCTGGTTGCTCTGGGTGACGAGCTAATGCTTAATCATGTTAATAACAAGTCTTCCCCATGTCTGCCAGGCTCATTGCCTCCACTTTCTGTATCCTGAACAGGGATTATAGTTGGTTTCTTTATAGATGACTGGAAAGTAACTTCCAGCTGTGATCTAGTTCATAAGTGTATTATTGTAACTCTGACTGGAGAAGTCATCTTGTAATATTTCTGTCATCTTCTAATGTAGCTGTAATAGTTGACTACTGCTGATCCAAAACCACCCATTCACTCGTTTCAAAGGTTGAAAGGCGTTCCTTTGTGTTTTGTCAGTAGTAGCAGTAACTTCCAAAGGATAGTTATGTGCTGTTGCAGGAGGCTGGTACATTAGTCTATGGTCCCAGAATTGTCTTAGAGTTACCTCCCTTAGCCATGCTATGATCTGCTAATCTAGATATTATCGCGAATGAGTACACATCCTTGGCTTGTCAGGACCATATTACTCAAAGTGATAAATAATTTTTGAATGGGCTTTCCTCCCATTTTAAGCAGACATGCCATGGTATGACTAAATTTCTGTTCAAACCAGTGTTCAAACCACTTCTAGTTTTAGTTATTCTTCTAAAAGTTCACAAATGAATTTTTTCCCCATGAACGCCAGGAGTGTGTGAAGCCAGTGTTCCAGTCCAGGGCCCATTCTGAGCAGGACAATGTGCGACACGTGCTGTACCACTGCGTAGACACATATTTACGTGCAATCAGCCCTTTCATGCCATTCCTGTCTGAAGAGTTGTTCCAGCGCTTACCAGCAAGGGGAGACAACTGGCCTGTCAGCGTGTGTGTGGCTCAGTATCCCCAGCCTGAAGATGTAAGTATGGAGACTGGGATATGCATCACAAATAATCTCACGGCATAATCTAGTCTAGTCTGTCTTACAGACCCTGATACAAATATAGATCAAATAAAGCCCATGCAAGTCTATAATGTTTGGCAAGTCTAGATCACTGCAGTATCTGAAAATGAAGAGGGTCACTGGGCTCCCTTTTATTATATTTTTATTAAGATAACTGAACAACTGTTTTTTCTGTTCGATATGTTCATTTCAGAGACTAGATGTTAGTCTAAATCTAGTCATACTTGTACACCTTGGTGACTTGGTGGATTGTGTGTCATCTTGCCCTGATGGTGTGGATCGTTGCTCATAATATCAATCACTGGATTATCAAGTCCAGACTTGATAATTACCAGGGCTACATCATTCAGATGACATATTTGCTAAATGTGACAACAACAACAAAACAAAATGTGTGATAACACTTTGAGAACTGTTTGATATTTCAGTACAAGTGGACCAACGCCAGTCTGGACAACACCATGGCCACAGTGAGGAACATCGCCTACCACTCTCTGTCTGTCAGGAAGGAGTTGAATCTGACCAAGACAAGAGCTGCCAGTATGTTCTCCATAGACTTCACGTCTCTTAATTCATAATGATATTGGAATGTATTTTTTGTCAAGGGAGATAACTCTCGATGTAGCTTTGCAAATTATCCTCACCAATCCACTTGTGGTGGGATGTCATATTTCGGCTTCGACTTCATTTTCAACTCAGATATTTTTAATCTTAAAACGCACAAAAAACACAAATATTCCGTTGATAGTACTCTCTTTTGGGTGTGCATGTCATGGTGCTCCGTTATTATTTTGAATTATTTCTGCCAGTCTATGTTTGTTTTTTGAGATAAGGAATGAGTGAGGGAGTTGGGTTCATCACCGCTTTGATAGTATTCCAGTTACATGACAGCATGTCAGCTTATTTTGGAAGGAAAGCCCAAAGTGATTGAGATACAGAAATCAGATAGGCTCTTCTGAATGTTAGGCTGGTTTGTACCTAGAATTTAGGTACTAATTGGTGGGCTAGAAGACTTCAACTAGTCTACCCTGCTAATAGCTTAATTGTTTGCTACAGATTTCCTGACGTGTACAGACTCAAGCCAGAGAGGTCAGTTGTCAGACTTCAGACTCAGCCTCCAGACACTGTCCAGGGCTAGTGACTTCAGTGTGATGTCTGACGGACAGGGAGTGCCAGACGGATGTCTGCAGATACAGGTGTCAGACACATGCAGTCTGGCTGTAGTGCTGAAGGTGTGTAACAGGAGGACACTCTTCTTCAGGTGGTCTCATCCAGGGCTGTTCCACAAGGGGATTTTAGTGCCTCAATATCTTAACCCCAGACCCCAGTTCACTTGCAAAAAGTCATCTTTGTGCTAGAACTGTTGTAAATCTATGTTAATGTATAGTCTCCCAGATTGGATTCTAGGACCTGCTCCACAAATCGTAGGTCCAAGTCAAAGTGTGAGACTTATGATCAGCTTAGCACTCAGGGCCCTGCTCCACAAAGTGATCGTAGTGCTAGAACTGTTGTAAATCTATGTTAATATATAGTCTCCCAGATTGGATTCTAGGACCTGCTCCACAAATCGTAGGTCTATGTTAAATTCTGTGACTTATGATCGGCTTAGCACTCAGGGCCCTGCTCCACAAAGTGATCGTAGTGTTACGACTATCGTAAGTCTATGCTATGGTATGGGAGTTACGATGGTCTTAGCGCTACAATCGCTAAGTGAAACGGGCCCTGGTCAGAATAGTTCCCCATTAACCCATGCTTGTCTCCCAGTGGGGTTACCGGGTCAGAATAGGTCCCCATTAACCCATGCTTGTCTCCCTGTTGGGTTTAGGGTCAGAATAGGTCTCATTTTGAAAATGCTTGTCTCCCAGTTGAGTTTGGGATCAGAATACGTCCCCAGTACCCATACTTGTCTCCCAGTGGGGATTCTGTCAGAATACTTTCTCACTACCCACTGCTTGTCTCCCATGGTGATTCCTAGTCAGAATAGGTACCCATTACCCATGCATGTCTCCCAGTGGGGATTCACAGTCAGAATTGGTCCCCTGTACCCCTTGCTTGTCTCCCAGGGGCGATTCCAGGTCAGAATAAATCCTCAGTACCCAAGAGCTGACAAAAAGCAAATGTTGTGGTACCACACTGGATCTTGCTCCTGTTTTCAGTAGCAGGTTTGTCATTGCTCGTAATATCAATCACTAGTTTGCTGGGTCCAGTCTCGATTATTTACCAGCTGCTGTGATGTTGCTGGATTAGAGTGTTTGCTGTTTAAACCCGTTATCAGCAATGATTCAGCTATATGATGGCAGTCTGGGAAAGACAGTGCAGTGATTGACATCATGAGCATTGATCTATGCAATGATCACACAATCCTACAGTCACCACTTGTGACAAGGATGGGTAGCTGGAGACCAGTTTCGACCCAGGTAGGGTGGTATGGTAGCCTAGCGGTTAAAGTGTTCGCTAAGCTCATTTCTGGTGTCCCCCTGCCGTGAGAATGCTGGAATATTGCTAGAATATTGCTAAAAGAGGCGTAAAACAATACTCACTCATTCAGGTCCTCACGGGGATGCTGATCGCCTCCGTGGTCTTGTGGTAGAGCGTCCGCCCGTAAAGTCCGGGGTTTGATCCCCGGCCGCGTCATACCAAAAGACGTTAAAAGATGGTACTTGTTGTTACCCTGTCTGGCGCTCGGCATTAAGGGGCTACAACAAGGACTGGTCAGTATACTGTGTCTGAGTGGGGTATTCATGTTAAACTGTGGCATGGTATCACAGTGAGCTAGCACTATAAATCAGCTTCAGTCCGGACTAGTACAAGCAGCCACACACACACACACATACACGTGCATGCACATCGCTATATAAGTGCAATAATCTTGGACGCGACGTTAAACCCAATTTCACCTCACCACTTTACCTCACGGGGATGCTGCTGGAATTCTGCTGTCTGATTCAGTCACAGCATCCACTCATTGTCAAGGCCGAACTGTTATGTGTTATATTTTTTTCCAGTTTTGCTGACCTAGTAGTTGGGTAGGTTGAAATCGAAATGACATTTTTTCAGCTAAAAAATATGGGTCAGCCATTAATATTGCACTATATTTCCACACCACATAGGGGCGTGCTCAAAGCGCTACATTATCATTACCCCAATTAATAGATCAGTGTGCCCTTGATTTTTCATTCTCAGCTCCCTAGGGAGTATGCAGCCCAAGCTGCCTGTGAGGCACTAGAAGGTTAGCAGTCATATTACCATCTCATCCTACCGGGTACTGATTCACTGCTGGGTAAACAGAGGCATATTTATGCTGACAAACTGTTCTTCAGTTTGGGGAAGACATAAAATTGGTTTGGTTGGTTGGTTGTTTAACGCCGCACTCAGCAATATTCCAGCTATATGACAGGGGTCTGTAAATAATTGAGTCTGGACCAGACAATCCAGTGATTGATATCATGAGCATCAATTGACGCAATTGGGATCAATGACATGCATCAACCAAGTCAGCGAGCCTGGCCACCCGATCCCCTTAGTCGCCTCTTACGACAAGCATAGTCGCCTTTTACGACAAGCATGGGTTGCTGAAGACCTATTCTACCCCGGAATCTTCACTTGTTGGGAAGACATAAAACATAAAAGCTTGTTCTGCTTGAAGTTAAGGATGTTTGCTAGTTTTACAGTTTCATGTGTGTGTATTGTTTGTTTCTGTCGAAAAATACTTTGCTCACAATAAGTCGGTCTTTAATTCATATGATTGTTTGCAGTGACCGGAGGCCGTACATTGTATACTTTTCATGACATGACAGATCAACAAAAGTAATATGAAAGAATTGAGCGTTCTTTAACTTTTTTTGAGTAGTATATATACAGTTCATTTGAACAGTTATAAATTAAGGTCTTAAAAGATACTTTTTGTTAGATATTTGTTGTTGTACTTTTGGTATTCTTCGTATCCATCAACCATGTATAAAAAAAAAGCTTCATTGGTTGCTTATTGGGGGTTTTGGTTCAGGTTGGTCAAATCCATGAACCAAGATATGTGAAAAAGGAGTTGAAGCTTGCAATGCAAGTGTTTTTTTCTTTAAACACAGGATGTCATCAATCCACATGAGCAGCTGCCCAAGCTGAGAAACAGAAAGAGCAAATTTGAGAGCGATTTGGAGCGTGTGAACATCGGGATGAGTCGGACGGAAAACAAACTCGTGACTCATAAGATGTTAGAAAAGGTGAGGCGATAAGGAATACTTGGTCAGGTTCTACAGGATTCCAGGATTCCAGAGTTACAAAATTAACAGAATTCCATGTAATTCCATTTTTTGCAGAATATTTGCAGAATCTTCTTTTTTGTGTTATCAGCTCAACAATACAGCTGTTATAATTAAATGTTGATAGATATCACAAAAAAATTTAAATGAAAACAAAAACAATATTTACACTTAGTCACAAGTAAAGAAGTCCCAAAGATAATGTTTAGGTCCTCAATAAATGGAACTATTATTGTTTATTTTCAGAGTGGAAAGTTGAAAGCTGAGATTGAAAAGATCAAGATCTATATTTCTGCTGTAGAGAAACTACGATGACAAAACATGACAAGACCTTGAACATTCTTACATCACATCCTGAAAAATTATTTGTGGCAAAACCAGATTCTCATGAGTGTCACAGGCTCCATCTTGATTATCATCCTCAGTTATCCAGGGTATTTTATCCCTACTCAGTCATGATATAAACCCTGGATGCGTTTGACCCCAGAGCCTTTTATGGAGTCTGGTTAAAATGACATTGGTGGAGATTACGTGCTCCACTGACCGTCTTGTGCTGTCTCAGAGCTACAGTTATATTTACTCAATAACCATCAGTGAAAAGCAGTTTTCTTGATGATGAAGTTGATATCTATAGAATTATAAAGGATCCATCAGTTGTTATTGATATATAGAAGGCCTGTTTAATAAATTCTCTAAATATTGTAAATTGAATGGCCTAAGAACAAAGGACACCAATTTGTCTGCCATGTAGTGTCATGGAAAGATATGTAAATAAATTGCAAGTGATTCCATGTTATTGATTTGCTAACAAAGCAATTATCAACAAACTGAAAAACTATAGACCACGCCCTGAGTGGACTGCTGTTTCCTTTATGCTGATAATAGAGTGGGAATTGCTTTATTGCACTATATGATGTTGTTGTGTACATGTTTTGTGTGTTACTGATTAAATAATGAAATCTATATTGTTATTATTGTTGACTTGTATATTTATAAGAACTAACTTCAATATTTATTTGCATTTATGGAGGCATGAATGTAAAAACAATGTGTACACTTTGTGTAAATCTGCCTACAGCATGCACATCGTTGTTTGTATTAATACCTCCATAAACACAAAGATATATGGTCAGTCTGCCAGTTCTTAAATAGATTTGTAAACTGCAAGTGTATGTTCCAATAATTGTGAAGATCCGGGGTAGAATAGGTCTTCAGCAACCCATGCTTGCCGTAAAAGGTGACTATGCTTGTGGGAAGAGGCGATTAACGGGATCGGGTGGTCAGGCTCGCTGACTTGGTTGATGCATGTCATCGATCGATCGATGCGTGGATCGATGCTCATGATGTCAATCACTGGATTGTCTGGTCCAGATTCGATTATTTACAGACCGCTGTCATATAGCTGGATTATCTCAATGCGGCATTAAACAACAAACAAACACACAAATCCAATAATTGTTCCACTTAGTTTCTTTCACCAACATTGTAACATGAAACGAATATACTGCTGATAGACTCATCAACATAATAATTGGTTTCCTAAATTAATGCATATTTTCAATTCATTCAGGGTTGTTTTATTGATGGCTTATAACAACATATATGCTGGGTAATGATTATCCTCCGGGTAATATTTGCATGAAACCATTTCTGAATAAGAACATACATATTACAAAGGCGGATCCTGCATTTTTAAAAGGGAGGGGTCAAAAATAAAAAAAATGTCAAAATCCTCTCTCAGCGAGTGTGCGTGGGTGTAGGGAGGATCTATACCATGCTACATTTGTTTTTCAAAAGTGAGGTCCGGATCTCCTGGACCCCCTCTCTGGATCCGCCTATGTATTATTAACATTAGGTCTGTATGGTATGCCAACAGTAGTGAGTGAGTGAGTGAGTGAGTGAGTTGTGTTTGATGCTGCTTTTAACAGTATTCCATTTATATCAGGGCATGTCAGCTTAATGTGCGAGGAAAGCCCGAAGTTATGCAGGTCTAAGACTTTACCACTTCGATGAAACCCACGTGCATATGGTGCTGACAAACCTAGAAACATAAAAGGGACAAACCGGGATTTGAGTATGCCAACAGTAATAAATTTGTTGATTAATATCCCATGTGTGTCACCTACGGGTCACACCCACTCCTGAAGGGAAGATGGAACGCAAGTAGTCGTCTGCCCCAGTATTCTAAGGCGGTGCAACTTGTTTTGCAGAGTTGCGTCCCTTGAGCACCCCAGAAACTTTAACCTATGATTGTGGGTTCGAATCCAGGTTCATCCCGATGATGTTTCTAGGTTTATCAGCAGCACATAGACCGACGGAAATGAATAAGAGAACACTTAGTTTTAGACACAGTGAAATTATATGCTATCATGACTCTTCTCTACCAAATAGGCGTTGGAAACAATGCACACAAACACACCTCAACATTTCATTCTGATAGTGTTGAATTTGCGATTTTAAATGTCTACTTTTCAACGTTGCTATGTTAAAATAATTTATGCAAAATGGTTTCTTACCATTCAACTTGAATTAATATCCCTGTCAAGAGTATAGACTACAGATGTAAACTTCCTGTCCTGATTGTCAAGCCACTTGCATTACCGCGCTGCCACACGGCCTTGAAGACGCATTTCAAGGATTTCTTGTGTATATTTTTGTCCGTTTCGGTTACCTTTGTCAGCTTTGATACGTATGTAATGTTTTAAAAAGGTAAATTTAAGTTAAGAACCTCCACACCTCGGTATATCGGCCAATAAGCAAACAGTCGACGAATCTGTATGGGCACTGTCAGATGCACTTCGAAAAGTATACATGACCCCGTAAAGATCCGGGTTAGGATAGATCTTCAACAACCCATTCTTGCCACAAAAGGCGACTATATGCTTGTCGTTAGAGGCCACCAACTTGATCGGGTGGTCAGTCTCGCTAACTTGGTTAATGCGTGGCATCGATCCCAATTGCGTCGATCCATGATCATGATGTCAATCACTGGATTGCCTGGACCAGACTATATTATTTACAGACCGGTGTCATATAGCTGGAATATTGCTGATTGAAGTTCTAGCCTTTTTGAAACTTGAAAAATGTTTCCTTTCTCTGCTGCCAGATTTCTCCCTGTGTTGGTAGGGTTGAGAAAGCTGGTTACTTAGATCTGAAATTGGAAATTTTAGCCCCGTTGTCCAGTGCTGTTGGGAATAGTGAGCGAATGAGTGAGTATGGTTTTACGCCGTTTTAAGCACTATTCCAGCTGTATCACGGCGGGGAACACTAGAAATGACTGTAGAAAATAATTTCACTCTCGGACAAGTACTTTGAGTCTCTCTGACCCGTGAAGATCCGGGTAGAATAGGTCTTCGGCAACCCAGGCTTGCCGTAACAGGCGACTAACGGGATCGGGTGGTCGGACTCGCTGACTTGGTTGATGCATGTCATCTTATCCCAATTATGTCGATCGATGCTCATGATGTCGATCACTGGATTGTCTGGTCCAGACTCGATTATTTCAGACCGCCGTCATATAGCTGGAATATTGCTGAGTGCGGCGTTAACAAACAAACAAACGATCTTAGAGTCTCTGACCTTGAAGGGGTTAATGGCCTTCTGAAATCTAGGCCCAGTTGAAGCATTGTGAACAACACACATTTCGTTACCGGTACAAGTGGGTTAAAGTTTCAGGTTTGGTAGCTTTTAAATCTGAGTCTTTTTGTGTTTTGGGGCATGTTCCAACATATGCGCTGAACCACTAATTGAACACATTTGTAGCTCACCTTAACCAAATGTTAGCGTTAGCTGTTAGTATGTTATCCGTCCGTCGCATGTTTATTGTAAACTAAACGCTGTTTAAGATCCTTTCAATGTTTATATTAACATAGCTTCCCGAGGCAAGCGTGCCCAGTAGCCTATATCAAAGCCTATAGTTTCCACAGCGAATTGGACTTCTCCCAGGAAGCGCTGCCTAGGCAAACCCACCGAGAACTTTTCGGAGAATGTGAAGACTCCCCAACACTGCATCCTTCTGCATAACCCAGATTGTCAGAAGGGCTGTATTTAAGGCAGTAAGCCTGGGTACTCTCCCAATGTCAGTTAACAGATTGGGAGTTACCATACCTAAGGCGACGAAAACGATGTGGGAGTTCGACAACTTGGTACTTGGGATGCAAGCGTGACATTTCGAAAGCGAGGTCCGCATATTTGCCACGTTTTACCTGAATCTTGTCAATCACATTAGTGTCAAAAGGGACAGAAAATTCAATATAAATGATTTAACTGATTTCAAGGACAAGATCAGGTTTGTTGGCCTGGATAAGTCTGAGGCTGTATACGGGCCTATTCCAATTTTGTATTTGTCATTTTCCATGACACCCTCTACATATTCTGGGTCGTACCATGGATGGACCTGTGTCAAAACCATAAGCATGGCGAAGACAGTAATAAAATAATCGAGCCACTCCATCATGTCGCTTAAGATACTGTGTTTGTGCCAAAGCTGGGCATCCACTGACAATGTGTTGGACAGTCTCATTTAATTCATTGCATATTATACTTTTCATATTTACATATTGATGCAAAATCACACATTGACGGTTTTGATTGGGAAGTGACTGGTCCTGAGCAGCAAACAGAAAGCCTTCTGTTTTACTTTTCAGGCCAGTCGACTTAATCCAAGCGAAGGACTCTGCAGTGGTCGTTCAGATAGCCTCTCCTTGGGGCAATTTGATATGGCACTTTCATTTCTCTTCAGCAGTACAGAACCATCAACACTGACATTTTGTATTATTATTTTTCTTTATTTTATTTTTTTCTTTATTCATTTATTATTAATATTTTTTTTTTTTTATTTTTTTTAAATTTTATTTTATTTGACTTTACTTTATTATTATTTATTTTATTTTTTTAGTGTGTGTGTGTGTGTGTGTGTGTGTGGGGGGGGGGGGGGCGGTGTTGGGGGTGTTTTCTTTATTTTAAGAAAACTGCCGATCTATGGTGTTACGGTCAAGATAGGCCGCAAAGTCTCAGTCATCTATTACTAATATGCCCCCTGAAACATCTGATGGATGTAAGACGATGTAGGTGGTCGGTTGTCCAGTGGTTAATGAGTTAGTGGTCCCCACCCATACTTGTCACAAGAGGCGAGTAAAATGGGGATCAGGTGAGTGAGTGAGTTCTGTTTAACGCCGCTTTCAACAGTATTTCAGTTATAACACGAGGGGTTGGATTACTGGGACAGGAAAGCCCCATGTGATGCAGGTCTCAGGCGTTTACTACTTTGGATAAACCCACGAGCAAGGATATGGTGCTGACAAACCTAGAAATATTATCTGGGGAACCGGGAATCGAACCCACGACCATAGGTTTCTGGCGTGCACAAAGGACACAACTAAGTGGTATATGGTGATATGATTGCGTGTTAACGCTGCTCATGATTCAAGTCACTAGATTGCTTGGTCCAGAAACGATTTTAGTGAGTGAGTGAGTTGGTTTTAACGCCGCTTTAACAGTATTCCAGTTATATCACGGTGTGTCAGCTTAATGTGGGAGGAAAGCCCCAAGTGATGCAGGTCTCAAACGTTTACCGCTTTGGTGAAACCCAGGAGCACGGGTATGGTGCTGACAAACCTAGAAACATAATAGGGATGAACCAGGATTCGAACCCACAATCAGAGGTTTCTGGCGTGCCCAGGGGACGCAACTCTGCACAGCGAATCGCGGCGCCTTAGACGACTGGGCCACTCGTGCCCCCAGAACCGCTTTTACTGCTTGGGAGTACTGATTTAAAAATAACGTAATACCATTATTATTTCAGGTATATAGCTCTATATGCTTAGCTGGAATGTTGCAGACTGTGACACAAAACACCATTCACTCACTTTCTCATTATGTCCGGAGCCGAGAAATGACAGGAATTGTGTTTTGCGTGACTTTTAGCTGTAATGCTTTATTATCACGACGGGGGAACGAAAATA